GATATTTTCTAATTCAGTATACAAGTCTTAACTATTATAGAGAGATAAAGAGTGTATTTACAGTTGTTTTAAATGATAATTTGTCCAAACAACATAATATACCTTATTTTAGTTTACAGCTTTAATTCTTGGTTGTGATAGATTATTGAATAGTTTTGATTTATCTTGATTAGTTTTTAACTTTTCCGAATTTCTACGTATTTTTGTTTTTAAGAAACTAAATTCGATCAAGAGTTGAAAGTTGTTTTAATATTTTCCATTGTTTCTAATGTAAAATCTTAAACTGAAGTGAAATTTAAAATACGTAATACAGTAAGGGTTATCTCTGTTAACATCCCTTTCCTACATCTCCTACTTACCCGTTTTTCACGATCGAAGTGTCATTTTTGAAGCTTATGATACAGCAGATGGAAAAATGGTAACCATATCATTATCTCAAGGACGTCGCCCTCTACTAGAGTTATTTTTATTTCTAGACTTCGTCTCAAAGATCCAGTCATTCTTACCTACTTTCCTTATACAGTAACTTTTTAATTTATCAGAGACGAGACAGTTTATGAATATTTTTTTTTTGCAAGAGATAAATAAATAGCACTTTTGTTGATAATTGTAACCTCATTGAGGTAGGTAAACGGCCCTTTATGGTGTATATCTACAATCTATGTAATTTACAGATTATAATTTCGTAGTTAAATTAATACAAAAAGCTTCTATTTTAAAATTAAAGAGTTTTATTTATTTGGAGATACAGCTATATTTATGTCTTTTATAGTCTAATGATAAAATGTTCAGCGAAGTGATTATTTAAAAAGTAAAAGGATTGTCGTCATGCATCGCAGAAAAGTTTTGAACCTGATTATAATGCTCAGTTTTCGCACGGGTCCGTATACACGCAACTTATGATCATCTGTTTGAAATCATTTCTTAAAACTGCAACTACATATGTGGATCTTAACATTACGAACAAAACCCATTTTAGTCTAAATCTATAACGATCATAAGATATAAAAGAAATGGGAGAGACGAAATGAAATTGTAATGTTATATATGTCGCAACGAACTGCTGTTATTGTAATACGTTGCGAAAATGAACAAAAATGTCCATTTGTGTCAATGTAATCTGATGACTAAAAAAAAAACTAGTTAGTATTGCAAAATAGCGCTGGTATAGAATGGCTCGCCATCAACCTGGCTATGTTTATATAAGATCATTAATATTGTACTGTAATGTATGAAACAATTCGTACAAAGTATAAGTAACAGAAATTACTTTGGATATTACAAGTACACTTCTCTTGGTCCTGTTGTAAAATATTCCGTTTCAATGTGCTTCATGTACAATAACGTTTCAGAACGCTGGTGTGAAGTTAAGTTTTTAAATCTTATTTCAAGGTACCTTATGACGTGAACTAAGGATAATATCGGATAATAGTTTAACAATTGGTTATCACAAGAAAAAAATGGTAAACGTCGAAACGTAATGTATTACTGGGTAGAAAATACATCTCGAAATCGTATTTACCTGATCCATACATATCGTAGGGAAGGCGAATCTATAGGCCTACAATGAAGTATGTCAATGTCATTATAATAACAGCAATTTGAATTTTATACAAGCAGATCTTATAAGATGACACTCAACGTAAAAATCCCAATTCTGTGAACATATTTGGGGGTAAACCTCGCAAAGGAATAAAATAAAATTATGAAACAATAAAAAATCATAATAAACGTTTGTAAATTTTAGAGCTCTGAACGAACAGTCCTCCAATTCGAGAGTTTTATCCCAATAGTCAAGACAATGACTAGTTAATTAAGGCTAACTAAATAGTCAACATAGTCCCTGTCATCCACTGGAGCTTGAGTTGTTTTGTTGCCTGTAATCCTCAGCCAAATACCTAGCCAAGGTGACGAGTGCAAATATGTCCTGTTGGTGTTTTCTTAATTAAGATTTAGAGAATTTATAACGTGCATTCGTGAAAGAAGGATAAACTTCGCCTGCAAAATAATGTTTCATAAGATATTAGACAAAAATTAAAATACTTAATTTTAACAGGCGAATGCAAGTCATATTGGCCAATAAAAACTACTACTAGTACTTTCCATTTTGTATCTCACAAATAAACTCAGTAGTCAACGTGTTGAGGCCACATGCTTGAAGTACTATTTTTTTAAATCTCCATTGAACATGCTACTGATTATTTTAACTCGAATACTATGTTGGATATCTTGATTAAGATTATAAACAAACATCTGCCCAAAACATCCACCGCAAAAGTCTCAAAATAAGGACTAAGTTCGATTGGAATCCCTGGGTATAAGCGCAACAAGAAAATAAGATTTTAATCTATTGTCAAAAAGACAATTAGTGGTATATTTGTGTAAATAGTAATCACCCACTATATCTGTGGGCGACTGTTTCGCACATGATCCGAAGTAGTTCCTGAATTCAGTAGTTTTTGATCATTCGATTTGGAACAGTCCATGGCTGTCTTTTTTCACTGAGATTTAGTTACTGATTTTCCAATAAGCAAAGGAATCGGCAGGTCAATAAAATAAGAAAATGATATTCTAATTCACTATATTTATCTTCCTGGCCAATATGTGACAATCTTCACCGGCCTAATCTAGAGAAATGCGACAAAGAGGTGATCTCTTGGTAACTCTTCTTATATGTTCGTTGTGTTTTAATCATTCACATACTTAATCTATGTTCTATGAATACACCCTTCGGTTGAATCCCCATCAGTTGGTAATGGTAATAATATTATGTTTAGCGAATTGCCTTGTTTACCACTAAAGAATCAACACAAAATTGCTCCGAGGTAGGAAAATTATTCAATTAGTATAATTAATTTGATGCACCGTTGTCCAAACTAACTAACAAGAACAAGCCACACAATTATCCAGCATAGCAAATACGTACAGACACTGACAGACAGTATGGGTTGACGGAAGTGGATTGCGGTATTCTAGGTACATAATAGGGGTTAGAGAATAAACAATTTCAATATTGACACTAAGTACTGAGTTGGTAGGCGTACTCAGTACTTTGCCTAAGAATGGAACATATCCAGAACATACATTACCGTGTCTAAAAGTCAAAGTACGAAAATATAACAAGCCAGCTGACCAACACTACACCTAACACGTACGGACACCAAACAAGAAAACTCGATTAATTAATTAATTTCTCCCTAGGATTCCGTTTCGCTTGGCCCGATCAAGGATTCGTCGTGCCACATTCTGAACTAATTAATTATAACATACAACAGTAAGGTTATTAGGACTGTAAACATGTTAGTTGTTTGAAATAAGTTTGAATTGCTTTCAAGGTTAGTTAAACCATTTATTTTGGACACAGCGTTTTACCATTATGTTTTTAATGAGTTTAATCAAAGGAGACACCTTCTATGGACAAGCTTTATAACGTGTTTACCCAAAGAAACGATAGTTCAATTAGACCCTATTGGGGGCGCTATTGTCTAAAATATATTTTCAGGTTATGATACAATGATAGCAGATAGAGTTAATAAGCTATGGAGATCTAGGTTCTTTATTTTTAAACTCGTTGCAACTTATAGAATCTCTAATTTACAGCAGCGAATCTGTGTGAATATTTGGCGTAGAGCGAGGAAAGTTTTGTCCAAGTGTCAGCTAAAACAAGTTTAATTTATATATTCTCTGAATATTCATTTTTAAGAAATTAACTTTAAATGATAAAATAATAATAGGCCATGTAAATAATACTGAAACACCAACGTTTAACTACGTGTTTACCATAAATAAAACTTGATCAAGTATTTCAGATCGTTAACTAATGTCATACTACGAGAACATTAAGGTTTCCGTCCAAGGAAACTGTTTCTTTATTTTCGTGAATAATACAGCAAACGATGAATTATGAATCGTCGATATACGGTTCCATAACCTACATTGGTCAAAAATGCTGTCGTTAGGACAAATAATATGTCATATTGATATCATTGCTTCGGCGGTTCATAAATAATACGAAAATCGAAAATCGATGGTAACGAGATAACAAATTTTACTACAACATTTATGTGATATAAATTTATACAATCTGTGCGATATGACCAAATTCAGCGTGGTTAACGGTGGGACAGAAATGTTAATACGCTATTGACCAAAAATGGTTACTACTAGTAGTAGAATTACTGGGTACCGTTGGACACGGACATTAGAAATAAAAAATAAATGAGTAAATCTTGACAATAAACTAAGTTTTTTCTGCACATTCCGAAAAAACGCAGCTTTAAGATACGATTTAAACGTACAAGGCTTAACGCACCAAAGTATACTCGATTCTGATCAACACGAATTGTACTATCAAGTTTAAAAATATACAAACCGTAGAGCGGTGAATTCACAATACATGTTTGTTACACGCCAGATATGTATAACACAAGAGTAAAATAACACACACAAAATTTAGGTCTACACTACATAGGTACCCAAGAAGCCAGCAAATAATAATTGCATCTTATATGCATAAAAAACTGTTTATCTTCCGTAAACTACACACAACCAACGAAATGTAGGCCTAATAACAAGGCACGGCAAATAATTACCATTGTATTGCCAATACACATTGAAAAGAATGTACTAAAGAAACAGCTCTTGTTTATTTCTCAAAACTCAATGGTATTTTTTAAATTATATTTTAGTAACGCTTTTCACTTGCTATATACAATTTTATTTCACGGCATTGAAAAACTCTGATTCTATACACACCAAATAGTACATCTAATTAAATGACCCCTAACAAAATATGTTTTATGTCTAAAATCCAAAAACAATCTAAAAACCAAATAACAAAATGTTCTACATACCGAATGTTCCACTAACACCCACGACGACCATAATTCCCAAATCAATTAAAAACTCCTCGAGCGATATCAGGATTAACTACAGTATTTTAATTACCTTCGAGGATGTTATCACCTTAATTAACACTTGACCTTATCGTTATAACTTACCGAGCGAGTCGACGGGCTCTATATCCAAGACGGTGTGAACCCTAGCTAGTGTGTCGACGGGTTCGACCTTCACCATGACGTTCACGACGTACAGGAGGCGTAGACCGGTCTGGACTACTGGTCTGGTCTACTCTGGTCGCGGCCGCGGTGTTGGACTGGCGCGCTGTTATCGTCGGACCTTGAGATACGCGACCTTGAAGCTCACCTCGTTTAGGTATTTGGGTATCGGACCCTCCGGTGTGTGTTTGAGGTTTGTTTACAAACTTGAAACGTTTAAGGGATGAAAAAAATCAAGGGCGTGCTTTTGTAAACGTTTCTGATCTATTTTCGCTGATTTCATTATTATTATTTTGGCAGGCTGAAGTCAGAACAGGTGTGCAAAATAATAACAATGTTGAAATTCAATTCATTGCGAATGGATTGCAATTTTTTATCGCTCTTAGGCGATACATATGAAAATGATTTGTTTGCTGATAAATCGCATGAGTATGCCACTGGAAAAACTGTGAAGACATTACAGATATATTTTGACTAACCTGTAAATCAAGTGCGTTGTAATCTCATTTTGTAAAATTTTGGCGACATTTTGAAAATGTAATTAAAAGTTAAGGAGGCAGAGTATGTTTTCATTTAAATTTGTTAGGTCATTATGCGCTCAATACATCTACACAAAGTTATGCTTCAATGCAAATTGAGCAGCAATATATTCACACATTGTTTTGTAATTATTGGGAAGAAATTAAACGAAAATAGAGTACAGTACAGAAGTCAAAATAATAAAAAAATAAACAACAGAAAAATGGTTGTTTGTTCAATTTCTATACACAAAGCAATTTATACATGAGTGTCAATTTAATTTCAAAACGTTTTTCAACAGTACCAGACTATAACCGTCCCATAGCAGTAGGAACTAGCTAAAGTAGTGAATGAAATAAGGAATACACTAGTCTCAGATCATGTAACTAATCGAATGAATTGATAATAATGGTAGAATTTAAAATACTCACTTGGAAACAAAATCGTGTAGCAAAAATAACACATAGACCTAACTGTTTAAATTACTATAATGTTCTCTACTGCAAGTTAGGTTTCTAGTACACAATGCAGACGGAAGTTTAACATCTGTAATTCAAATATATCTCTCAACACCTACAATGACTTTCTAATCGAGTCAATGAGTATTTTGATTTGCTTAGTGTTCATATCGTTTGTATTCTTTGTATTTGAGTTCTTGTGTTGTTAATTTTTTTTTAAATGCGTTTTTTGTGCATCGGTAACTTCCGATATTCTAGACGAAGACGACACTACTGTATGGATCTATAACCATGTACTGTGCCTTAGTTATCATAAATCAAGTGTCCATAAAATACTTTTATACTAGTTGAACCCGTGCGAATTCGCACGAATAATAAATTAGGATATTATAGCAACGTCTTTAGAAGTTGCGTTGTTGTATCGGCGTTGGTCTTGAGCTCGATCGTTGGCTATATGCATTTTAAGTTCTTTTTGCTGTTCAGTAGGAGTATTTTGCAGGACGAAGCTCATCGTGCTGAAAACTTGCGCGTATAGATTAATATCAACCAAATGTTGATTCAAAATGTCAATGAGTTCAGTGCTGCAAGAGACATTAGCTTTGTTTAGCATTCTTTCTTGAACAGCGGTTTCGACGACCGTAGATATAAATTTGGGCACATGTGGGATGCTCCCCTTCTGAAGGTTGAAAGGTGCCAATTGAGTGATAAATTGTGTCGTGCACCTTATACATGAAAGGCCCTCCACCGTTATGTTCTTCAATTTTAGCTCGAGTGCTGACCATTGCGAGCGCAGAGTTGTACGATCTAATGTTCTCTTTGTAGTTTCTGCCCAATTAATTTGCTCTATTAAGTAGGCTCTTGATATAATAGATTTCTCGGTATGGTGGTAGATTCACTTTTCTTTATGGCAGCAGGATGAAAATCCTTCGCCTCGTCCTCTTTGTTCTTCTTTAAAATGTAGCGCACCACATTTCTGACATTTTAATGCCATCTCGCCAAAGTGAATGCTGCTGAGAATTTTTCAAAACTAAACAAAACAGCTGGGATTTATTTTTTTTACTATTGTATTGACATCTGTTTTAGAATACGATAACATTCAAATCAATCACGATGTTATCCTTATGGAAGGAACTTTGAGGGCAGCCCACGCCCTTAAAAAGATATATTTTGAAAATCTAAAGCCAGTTTGCACATCTACACACCTAGACGAACATTTTGGTATACAATATGTGGGGTTAAATCTTAAAACAAAAAAGCCTTATTGTTCACAAAGTTTCATGTCGCGTATTAAATATACAGATTCATTAATACCCGACAATTTAAAGACAATGGACCTTTAATCATGAACCAAACTCGACATATGCTGCTATTTAAGAATTTAATACTTTTCAATGAAATGGCGACCATACAACGTAGGTATTTTAAGCCAAGTATGAATGGACTTGAGTGTATAGGATGATGTGGCGCGATCTACCCCACGTTGATTGCTGGGACGCCTAGGCCTACTTCAGTATCCAATCCATTGGTTTTATACTCACACAATTGAACAAAAAAAAAGTTTACAACCATTTTCTGCATACTGCAAATAGTAAGCGGCATCATGAGCAATTTGTTGGATTCCTCATAAATTGGGCATAATTTCCTCAATTTGTGGTTTACTTATTTGCTCAGAATACTTGTTAAGGACAATAACCCACAGATTAGAATTGTAGATGTTCTAACTACAATTCTAATCATAAGTTTAAAACAGTAAACAGTAATTAAAATATTGATTTAAGTTTAAAAAGTTGATGATTGCATTCTTCAATGTGAAATGGTTACGGTAATTTAGATTCAAATAATAAGTTTTACGAGTGCTTATAGGTTTGCTGCAACAGGAAAAGTAATAAAGTGTGATTTTTATTGAAATGTTAAAAGGTTAATTAGTTAATTCACAACTATTAAGTTTGATCAAACCTTAAATAAACAAACTGCAACAGTTTTTTTATTCTCTAATAAAAATAACTTATGGGTTTTTAATTTACAGTCTTTTAGCGAATTTCCCATATCAATACTATTATATAAAAATCTAATGGTGTCTGTCTGTATGTGTGTTACTAATAGGTGCAAAAACTACTGAACCAACTGGGCTTAAATTTTACAAAGATATAGCTACCATACCAAGGATCATTATAGGACTATTCACATTTCGATACTGACCGTAGGCTTTGCCCCTTTGGCTTTAAAAGTTCTGAGGTGAACATTTTAAAAGTAAATATTGATTGGTCTCCATGGCTGCGATGAGAACACTAAAAATGTTTGTTTATATTTGCTTTGACATTTAATGTAAACAAGAAGAACTGCTAAACTGCATATTTCACAATTTCAGACAGCTGATACAAAGAAAGTAAAAATAATATTTTCCATAACTATGAGGTAGGTTTATTTGAATCTAACCTTTTATCATGGATTATTTATTCTAAAACTATGTCAATGATTATAGAAAAAAATATTCTATAACCGTTGCTGTATCAACTCCGGCTCTAATTTGGATTTTTTAAAGCGTCTAAGCTATGAAAATAATGTTATTGATATGTTTTCATGGAAACAGTATGACAATTACAATGTATAGATGTTTTGTATGAATTTGCTTAAATTAAACTAAAGAATATCATCAATAACTAAATTGTACGTCGTTGATTATTGTTTTCTAAAATCTGTTGTATATGTGTAACTATATTTAATTATCAAATGGTAATACAAAATACTCTTATTTTATTTTAACATAGCTCTCAGTTCACATTTAATTTATGTGATACATTTATTATTTGTGTTTTACCACACCATTGAATAAATTGTTTTTTTGAATAAAAAATTTTTTTTTTTTTATAAACCAAGGAAAATTTCATAAAACTGAGCAGTACACAGTGTTCTTTTGTTTCTAAAATCAATGAAATCTCTGTTACTATGTTTAATTAATGGTAAGTGTGAAAATGTAAAGGCAATGGACGATGGAACTGATTAAAAGAACTGGTTTGTATATTAAGATGTTTGTTGATATTTTTGTAGAGTAGAATCAGCAGAGATGCAATGAAGCATATATACTGTATGTGCTATTAAATTGTTTAGTCCTTGATGCTTTGATAATTATATTAGTTTTGTCTGCTGTCTATAATGCTAAATTATTTGTTTAAAATTTTTTATAGTACCTATAGATATAGTTCTTTAATATTTCAAAAGACTGCATTGATAAGGCAAAGCAATATTTCTAAAGTTTATAACAGCTGACTTAGTTTTGCTAACGATTTATTGTGAGTGATAAAACTGAAGATGGAAGGATTTGTGATAAAGAAGAGTGAAATTTTTTAAAAAAATGTTCATTTAAATTTAATAACTAGTGCTTTTTCAACATCAAAATTGAAATTTAAAATGTCAATAATAAATTAAAAGATATGTAATCAAGGGAGATGAAGGTAAATCATGTATGTCAAAGTTTTATTCGAAGATTTGGTCAGTTTTTCTCATATCAGCCTACACACGATTTAAAATTAATCAAAACCAAAATGGTGGTATCCACTAATTACCAGATTTAAAAGTCATAACTAAAACTTTTCTATTAAGGCCATAAGAGTTTAATTTTGTTTCTAAAAGCGTTGGCGGATGTGTAACTATTATATGCAACATATGTAAAGATTAAAATGTTTCTATTTTGTGTCCTCTTCCCGTTGCAAAGCACGGGTACAACAGCTAGTAGGGAATAAGCTATATTAGAGTTTTCTTTCTCTGTAACTGTTTTGTTCAAAGAACGCTTTAAACATACTTTACTATATGTTTTTAAGCTCTAAAAAATACCTTCTGAATAAATGGCAAAATTTTGTATGTTTTGGAGGTCAAAAATGGGATAAAACCATTTTACCCCATAAAACCTTGCTACAACAGTCCGATCATGCTGGTTCGCAAACTCGTTCAATAGGTAAACATAGGTTTACCTAACCCGCTATGTTAAACTTCCCTCTCCCAAGCGTGATGTATACAACTTCCTTACTTCTCGAGTGATGTAAAGTTGAAAAAAACTCACTCGGTGATGTAATGAAACCCATTTAAATAACATTGAGTGCTTAACTTAAAAAATATACCTCTATGGAGGCATCGACGTTCAACGCTAGAAATCAGCTGTGCGCTTGAATGTTATTGTTATGCTTTAAAGTATTTTCCTAACCTAGCTTTTGTTTGTAAAAGAACGTTACTGTTAGACGATGAGTGAAATGGATAATGAAAAATATTGTACGTAACCCCATGTATATTGTCGGGTCAGGTAAAATCTTGTACGTTACACGTTGCGCAAGAGCGTGTTTACATCTCTTAGGTGAATTATGCAACTCGCTTCCGCTCATTGCACAACATTCACCTGCGTGATGTAAAAACGCTCTTATTACACTTGTAATGTAAATAGCTATTACACGTTTGTATCAAATTTCTTCAAAATCGGATAATTGTTACAGTCCGATCACCTGAAATAGGCCTACGTTGTTGCGTATAGTAGCACAGATAGTAGTAGCCACGAATACTAGAAAAGACCGTTTTCATTTTTCTAGGATTCGTGGTAGTAGCCATGTAGTAATTATCTATTATAGATTAGGTCCAGTGTTATCGGGAATTTATTGTAAAGATAAGACACATCATTATTGTAATAAGACATCATGACACAATCATTTATTGTAATAAGACACATCATGGGATCATGGTGTTCCCCTATCTCGAAGTTGAAAGTAAATCATTGTGATAAAACTGCGGATTCGATTTCCTTAAATTTTTACATGTCAATAACAGTAAACATTTAAGGAAACCAAATCCGTAGGAAACAAAAAATACCCCCGTCACAGCAAACCGGCACACTAAGTGAATTAACATTTGCCTGATTTAATGTTCACTTAAATCTAGAGATTTAAGTTTACCTCAAATTCGTATTCGGTCCCCTTAAATTTGTTATGTCAATTAAAAGTTGATTTATTACGTACTGAAATCACACCTGGAAACTTATAATTTCAATGTATCTTCAATCCTAAAATGCTATGAGAAGGTAAGGAAACAGACCACGACGTAGGAAGTAGTAAAGGCTGGCATAGCAGAGTGGGGGAGCCGTTTGTGGCGCAAAGCTTGGTCCCCAGGTACTTCACAATAAATTCCTCCAAAAAACCTCATAGATATTGCAACGCAAATCAGGTGATCGGCGAGGAAGTAAAATACCCCCGCCACAGCAAACCTGCAGACCAAGAGAATTTCCATTTGTCTACTCTTGGATTTCCACTGAAATATCTCCTTAAAATTGTCACATTTGTTTCCGATATAATAACATTAATTTGAATGAGCAGGCCTACTTAGGTTTGCTGTTACAGTGAAGGTAATAAGACATGCTGGAAGGAAAGTACAAAGGTATGGTGTTTTTTTATTGAAATGCTGACAGCTTAGTATAGTATGAAATAAACAAATTTGCAAAATTCCATCAAAATATATCCATAAAAAAGTGAACTATAACAGTTTAGAGTTATTCTCCATATGAATAACATGGGAATTTTTAATTTACAATTTTTTGGAATTCTCTTCATAACTATTAGGCGTACATAACAACACTTTGCTGTACTAAATTACTAGCTTTTTGAGCTCTACAAAATTGTTTGAAAATAAATGGCAAAATTTTAAAATTTTATGATGATCAAAAATGGGAAAAGCTAATTTTTACCCCAACCCCCATAGTCCGATCATACTGGTTCGCGAACTCGTTCAAATAAGGTCTGTTCGACGTACGTTTGTACCAAATTTTATCAAAATAGAGGCAAGAAAAAAAAATCATCCGTTTAAATATATGAATTTGAACGGATGAGGTTTTTGCTGGCCACTATGAACCTCAAATCAAAATGCAGTAAATAGGTCCCGGGTTCAGGTCCTACCATGAGTACTACCACAGCCACCTCTAATACCCTCTCTCTAATAGAGGTAGGTGGCTGTGGTACCAGGGCTACAGATATACATGTATATCTGTAGCCCTGGCTGTGGTACTACGGTAATAGAATAGCTTATTCCCTATATGGGAAATTCACTAACATAACATAAGGTTGTTTTGTAATTAAAACCTATAATTTCGTCACACAATAACACGCCTGCTGGGCCGCTCCACACGTGCTAGGCCTAGTTAGTGTGCCAACTTCAAGATTTTGGTTTACTTGCACCATAGACAAAACATACTCCATGAGGAGTATGTTTTAACTATGCTTGTACCCACTTTAAATGAATACAGTATGAATTGTACTTGATTTTATTTTAAATTGTAATATGAATTGTCTTTCATTGTTTACCAACACGTTGAACAAACTAACCCCCTGCATATTTATAAAATGGACTGTTTATTAATGTTTGTAGTAGGTACGTTGACATGCTACATTACTCAGGTCTACTCTTTAATCTATGGTGCTAAGTGATGAACAAAATCTGTCCAGTTGCTTGTCTTGTCACTGTAATTCAGTGTTGTGTCATCGTTGCCGAATGTCGATTTTTTCTGTCAACTGTCAAGTCAAGTGTGTTGTGTTGTGTTGAATGGGCATAACATAACCTAAAACAGTCACTCAGGATTACAGAGAAGATGTTTATGTACTATTAATTTATTGTAATGGGTTGTAGTTTGTTTGAAGTCTTATAATTTTGTGTCTTATTCATTGCTCTAAAATGAGTCCTACAAAAACAAGAAAGAGTATTGCTCCAAAAAACATTTTATATGAACTTATGCTATACACAGAATGGACCCAAGAATCAGACATAGCCGTGAGTATTAAGAGTAGAACCTCGATAATAAGACTCTTATGGGATTATGAAAATAAGGTTTGTTATCAAGGTTGACTTCTTATCGAGGTTTACAGTAACATGATTAGGTGTAATGACACTTATTATCAAAGGTGACTTGTTATCGAGGGTCTTGTTATCAAGGTTCACTGTAATATAATTTTGCTAATAAGTTACTAATGTTTTTTTTTTAAAGGTTGGCAGCCTCTTTTAATCTTGCATTTGCCTGTCCACACTAACTAACCTAACTGACTAACTGCCTGTGTGTCGATCGTAAACAGCAAAGCAAGGGGTGATAGTACAAAGGTGAACTAGGTATACTGATAAAATGTTTACGGCAGTGACCAGGTGATGTCTGAACCCACGACGTCGGGGGCCTGAAGCCTGTGACGCTACTGACTGAGCCACCAACTCACCAAAAATACAAAAAAATAGCATATAGATTTTAGTGTCGATTCATTCATTCTGCTTGTATAAAACTTGTAAGCTTCACAATAAATGTTTTAGGATTAAAAAACTTAATGTCAACGCCAAAAGCATTTTTCACAAGAGTACGGCGTACTCTGTAAGTTTATTGCAATAATGCTTTTCAGTAAAGCAGTCCAAACCCATAGGCCTATGTGTTATGTATGTGCCGGCAGTGTCGCATTAAGGGTCAGTGGAGCCCTGGGCAAACCCAAGAGCAGCGCCCCCCCCTTTTTTCCTAGTGCTGGTGGGCGGTGGTTTGAGGGCACCCAGGGGACGCCCCTAAACCACAGGCGCCCCTGGGCATATGCCCAGTCTGCCCGTTTATAAAAGCGGGCTTGTGTGCCGGAATGGAACCCTCCCCTTCCGCACTGTAGTCTGAACACAAAACTTCACTAAGGTAGCAATACACAATTTTTTAATCTTAATTGCTACCTAATAGGCCTATTAATTTTCCATCCTTATTGGTAAGGATTCAATAGGCCTACATTTGTTTGCCTAGTATTCCAGAATCTTGGTTTTTTAGCGAATTTCCCTATAGGGAAGTAGCTATTACCGTAGGTCTCATGGTAAGACCTAAGCCCGGGACCGATTTACTTTTTCATTTTGATGTCCCCAGAGGCCAAAAACACCATTCGTTCAAATTTTTATATATCTATATATAGAGAGATATATATATATATATATATATATATATATATATATATATATATATATATATATATGTGTCCATCCGCACGATAACTTGAGTAATTTTTGTCCGATTTTGATAAAATTTGGTTTAAAGGTGTAAGGCGGGATAAACTTGAATGAGTTCGCGAACCAGCATGATCGGACTATGGGAACGGGGGTTTATGGGGGGTTTTATGGGGTAAAAATAGGTTTTTCCCATTTTTGACCCTAAAAACACAAAATTTCACAATTTATTTTTAAACCATTTTGTAGAGCTTAAAAAAACAAATAATTTAGTATGTTGAAGCGTTATTATGCGCCTAATTGTTACGGAGAAAATTCAAAAAAATTGTAATTTTAAAATTCCCATGTTATTCTTATGGAGAATAAGTCAACTGTTGTAGTTTGCTTGTTTATGAACATATTTTGATCAAATTTGGAAAATACATTAATTTCTAACTAAACCACAGTACCTTTTAATATTTTACATTTAAAAAAAACTTTTTTACCCTCCCTGTTGCAGCAAACCTAAGTACTCATTAAACTTATTCTGTTTAATAGGGAATAAATGTGATATTTTTAGGGGACATTTTAGTTTAAATCCAATCAGGCAGATGGAAATTCGCTAAGTCTGCAGGTTTGCTGCGACGGGGGTATTTAATGATTATGTGTTTTTCAGAAGTCGTTGTATAAAGTTAGTGAGGAAAATGTGTCTTTCATATACAAACTGTCAAGACCATGGACCTATTTTAAAAAGTGTGACTCATTACTGGATGAAATAACCAAGTGAGTCAAAATGTTAACTTAGTTTTATTAGTGATTTAATAATTCATGTACGGTAACTTAACCCTCCGAGTGTCCATAGTTTAGGCCTTAATGTCCGCCTATTTTTGGCGCATTTGCAAGGTTTTATTAAAACGGATCTGAGAAGCTTAAAACAATGTTAATTTTACTGTTCTATATACCATTTTGTTTGGAAATTCATGGACTTCAATATTATACATAAAACATAAGGAACATTTGTTTCAAAAAATTTTTTTAGGTAAAAAAAAGTATTTTGGAAAATAAAAAAAAAAAAAATAAGTTCGCGCTTGATGAAATTGTATAAATTATAGGCCTATAAATATTTGAAAATAGCCACTTTGTTCTAAATTTTATGAGGATTACAAATATATAATAATATAAGGAAGTAGATTTGCAAATAAATAAGTTATGGGCAAAAAACAGATTTCAGTACATAGCGTTTAGCTAAGAATGCATAGCCTAACCATAGCTAGGAATCTGGCTGATAATTTACATCAATATCACTACCTACTTCTTCAGGATCATCAACCAGCCCTTCAAAATCACTTAAATCTTCTTATAATGCACCACGTATATCACTACTTTTGATTTTTTACACTAAAACAATGATAAACGTAATAAAACACATCAGTCATCGGTCCGAGGGTAACCTAGCTGTTTACAAATACGCACGTCAGCTGTCTGCTACAATTACGATCGGCTCGGAGAACATAAAGCGCTTAGAGACAGACCTCTGGAGAAAGCGTAGAATATAACAAAAAGAACGATACCTAACTCGATCCAGTTCAATCCGATTCAGTCAGTCATAGAGCCTTCGCCGTAAACGATGTTCGTGCGTCGAAAAATCGACGCGTGACACTACACAAAGTGTGTCGCGCGTCAATTTTTCGACGAGTGACGCTCGGAGGGTTAATATGACTAACTTATGTCCAACCTGAATGGTTATTTAAGTTAGGGCCTAATGAATATTTAACCAGATTTATTTTAGGTTTCCAATTAAATGGTTTAGTCTGTGACTAAGGCTAGGCGCACACGAGCGATTATTTTGAGGCGACTATTTCATCGGCCGATCTGTGCATCATGTATTTGAATGGAAGCGCGCACACAGGCGATCGAGAATTGCGCCGATTTTAAAATCTGGGTTTTGCCACAGATTCGTAGGCGAGGCGATTGTCGCCCGGAAATCTGTAACGTACAGGTTGTTATCAGTCCGCGCACACGGTCGACTAAAAAATCGGCCAGTCGCTTGTTGTTCTCCACAGGAGTCAGTGAACTTCAGTGTGAATTGTGTTGTTTTGTTTGCTAAAAAAGGCCACAGCTGTTATAATAAAAACTGAAACTTTCCTATAGTAATCAAATAAATTTTTACTGTCATCACGTAAAGTGTATAGTTTCTAAAACTATCGATTTAAAAGTATCTGACTTACTATCGGATGAACTTAATATTTAAGTCGTCTTCTTTTTTTCTTTGGTCTAGTTAGAAGAGCACAAACACAGGTTAATTCAACAAAGTCCATTTTAAACGTACTCAAAAAATCCATTTCTCGACTAAAAAATCGCCACGTGTGCGCCTAGACATAAATCAAAGGCGATTTCTTTTTGGCCGATTGATCGAAAAATCGACCGTGTGCGCCAGGCCTAAGTAATATCACAACAATAACAAACTATTAAAAAATGTATTTTTGTCTCATAGTAGGCCTGACTTCAGTAAATTTAAAATTCTTGATTCAGCTTTCAAGGCAGTCTCCTAAGCTGGAACTTTACCATTGGAGAGGTTGGGTCGGTGCTGGCAATCCTGCAAGATTCAATTTTGGAAGTCCGAACTCCCAGAGATGACTTTTCTTCAGTTGTTGGAAAAACCACTGGTAAGTGGTTGGGTAGGCTATGTAATTAAGCACAGTAGGCCTAAGTTAGAACTTCAACTTTCCAAATCCCTTACAGAAAGAATTATTAAAATAAACCTTACACCACAGAATTTAATGAAAAAAATTGTTACAGAAAACAGAAGCTATGATCAAGGCTAATTAAAACAATTCTTCTAAGGAAAAATCTTACACACCTTCCGCGGTCTTGCAGAAATCATCTTCGTCTCCCGCCATCACGGAAAATCCTAATCATCCTCCCCAATCGAGTCACAAGTGTAGGATCGCAAAAGTAAAAGTTTGGCTCTACTCTGTACATTTTCGGTAAAATTCCCAGCATATCGGTAAAAATCCAACTATCAGATTTTTGATGATCTGATTGTGTTAGGCTACGATCCAAATTGATTTGGATGATTTTGAGTTCTACTAGGCCTACTGAAGGAAAGAGATTTTTACAAAATGTTTTTAAAAGGTACCTGAAGTCATCCTTTGGGGGGTCCTTTGGCAGACTCAAGTATTGGCCGAAAGTTTACATCTTTTAAAATATGAACTAGAACAAGAACTTTAATAAATCTTTGCAATGACCCAATAGGCCTACACAAGCCAGCAACCACAACCAGCAAATTTATGTAAATTACAGTAAATATGTAATTTACTTACTGCATGTCGTAAACGTTGCATATCTCGTTAATATCGAGGCCATTGTTGGTTAATGGCCTCCTGGACTGTCCGGATCTACTCTGCGGCATCCACTTGCATATACCAACAGGAACCCGTTCCAAAACGATATTCCGTAGACGCTACCAACCCACCTACTATGCAGCTAACAGCGGCCTTTCGAGACTTCTACGTACTGGGAGTGATGTCGCAATCCACCTGGACTTCTTCCACGACTCATTGTCCTCGTTCCGGAGAAAGGTCGCCTCCCTGCTTAAGTGATAATAATTCTAGTCACTAACTGTTGAATCTTACCTTCCTTAGCTCTAGTCATAATTAATCGTTCCTGTTGTTGCTGCCAAGTATCACCTCTCATGCTATGTTTTTGTAAACACAGAGGATACGCGTCCGGTAACCAGACGTGGATTAGGCGTCCGGTAACCAGACGTGGATTAGGCGTCCGGTAACCAGACGTGGATTAGGCGTCCGGTAGGGGGTCCCGTAACGCCATTACCACAATGATACGAGGTTCAGCCATCAGTGTTCGTGGTGTAGTGGATAGAGTGCTTGACTGATATGCGAAAGGTCCCCGGTTCGAAACCCATCGGTATTTTAACTTTTTGTCACAGATTTTGCTTTGAATGTAATTTCTTCTTAACTGTACATCTTTTGTTAGAATTTTGGACATTTATAATTTTATGTTATGAAGAGAATTGAACCTTCATTTGATTTTTTTCACTATCAGCAAGTTTGGTTGGTTAGGTTAGGTTATGACAGTAACTGCCGGACGCCTAATCCACGTCCGGTTACCGGACGCGTATCCTCTGCGTTTTGTAAAATCAAATTTTTTGCCACATTGTACTATTATCCAAAACTATCTTCACTGCTTCTAATTTTTATTGTTAACTTGTCGTCTTTCCTTGTCATTTTGTTATTTTTGTTATTGCTATTGTTATTGTTATTCAAGATTGTTATTATATAGTATCTATTTACTTGTTACTTGTTAATTTTTGTTCATTAATTATGTTCTTGCTGTTACCACTCACTGTTGCATGTATTTTGCCATCTTTTAATATTGTATACATTCTTGTAAACTGTTGTAAACCGTTGGGAAATAAATAAATAAATAAATAAATGTCATTGTCAACAATTATTTTGTATGTATATGTTTAAGTTAGATTAAGTCAATCTAACACATTGTAAATTGGTTCTTGACCCTTGGAAAGTAAAATAAAAAAATAAAAAAACGCCAAGACTCATTATCATTTCCTGCAATCCTGGCAATACCCTGAACACCTACCACGGTTGCAGTTTGCAAAAATATCATTGTAGTTTGCGATCGCGGGGACATCATTATCGTCTTCCATGATCGTGGTGAAATTATTGCATAACAGCCAATAAACAGAAAATCTTTTACAAGGATTATGTGGATTTTCATTTTGGATTTTAATTTAAAAGTTAAATCATTCAATTGCCCTGCCAAGGTATTAGTAGTGGCAGAAGAGGTAACTTAATTATTGTTGAACAATATAGGCTTGTAACTGCTTGATAAGAGTTAGCTGTACTGAGTAATAAACCTAAGAATTTAGTTTAATGTTGGGCCTAAGACAGTTATAGAGGGTCATCTATTGACGGTTATTGAAGTGAGATTATATTTTCCAGTGGCTCGTGAAGGCAGTCCCCAATGGCGAAGGTTATGTTGGAGTCCGGACTGCACTGTTCTAGCGATCGCGTCCTGCAACGGAGGTGTCAACTTTTACGATCTTTTCGGCAGCAACTTGTTCAATATCCCTCCAGTAGGTAGTTAATTACTGTTAGAAGAGAACTTCATAGTTATTCAGATTTGTACCAACACATTTTGACACAACTAATTAAGCAACCATACAGAAAAAGGAGTTAATCATCTAACCCAACAATATTACTTTCACTTAACAATACACTGTACACGTTAATTATGTATTGATAAGGTAACTTTAAAGCCTGCTTCACACTGCTTCACACATTCAATTGTATGTGAATAAGGTGAACCAGCAAGCTGAATTGACTATGTGTATGCAAAGTTTATTCAAACATGTGAGCGATTGACACAGCCTATCCAGATCATCTGGTCATCGGCGACGCAGTGGTAATTAAGAAGGTAATGGTAATTAATTAATAAGTTTGAAATTTAAACTGATTGCAAGATAACTTAGAAATTGACAATTCTAACTGATTTACCAACTGAATCTTGTGCAGTAAACTTAATTAAGTTCAAAATAATAAAAATAAGATTAAGGTCATACTTGACTTACTTTGTTTTTGATTTGTGAAACACGATATAAAATACAGAATTTTTGACCTGTTTCAGACAAAGAATGTCAAAGATTCTCAGGTTTGGATGCCTGAACATAGTCTGGCGGGAATGTTCTTCATTCCCGCAAGGGCAAAAAAGGAAAAATGGTGAGAATTTACTTGTTCATTGCAACCTGTAGAACTAGTATCTTAATGAACAGAACTGTGGATAAATTAAGGTTTATGTTAGGTAACTGTCATGCTCTTGGAACAATCAAAGGTAACAATAAACTAGGCCTACTGCTGTTTCATGATCCTCGGATGTCAGAAATCTTGTTGGTCATCCAGTATTAAATTAAAATATTAGGTTTGATGCGTTAAATCTTGTTATTTTAATTATTTAAAACTTCAGACAAACTCTGCCTTGTGTTTTTTATGGGAGACATTCTCATCTGAATATGTGCACAATCAGCAGCCCGAACAAGCTGTAGTTAATTTCTACCAAAACCTTCATGTAGCCTAATTGAAATATGAATGGAAGAAAATTATTTCAATGTGCTAGTTAACCCATCGGTCACTATTGATACCTCAACAAGGAAATAAAATTATCACCCTGTTTGGCACCCTCAGGCCCATGTTAATTTTTTTTTTAATTTAAATTAATTTTTTGCATATTTTTGAACCTATTTTAATTTATAAAGAGATTCTGCACATCTACAGGGAAAAATCTTTCTAACAGTATGCGTAGATTTTCCCTGCGTTGCAAATGAGCTGAGAAAAAATGTTTTAAAGAAACATGCTTGCATATTAATAGACAAGCCAATTGGCAAAAAAACCCTGTCTGAAACCTGTACTAGACCGTCACCACATACCACCCCAATGGCCTCTGCGTACCACTTGTGGTCACATACCACGGGTTGGGAAACACCAAATCTAGGCTACTCTCTATTACTACGGAATAAAACTTTCATAAACTGTTACGTCTTACATTTCTCCTTCTTCTCGCAGGCCTTACGAACTGATCTTGGTGGACTATGCAGGAGAGCTCCGCAGCTATCACGTCTCCACGGACAGCTTCACTGAGTACCATCACTTTAGTTTCAGTAAAGGCGGAGTTTCTTCCGTCTGCTGGGACAATGTCCACAACTTACTCTATGTTTGTACACCACCAGAACACGGCAACCTAGATCTCAAGGTACTGCAGCTAGGAAATTTCACCTAACTTTCAGAGTAATAAATGCAGCAAGGCTTGTTCAATGTCATGCGATCAGAGTAGAGGTTTGACATTAGTTTTACACTAGTACCCGATCTAATTACAGACCAATCAGCATTCTTCCTGCTCTTTCTAAATGCATTAAAAAAATATTGCATGATAAATTCTCAATTTTTTGGGAGAAACCAGAATTTTAATCGGATTTTCAATCTGGTATTTTGCGCTAAATATAGCACTACCGAGTTTTTGCTTTGTTGAAAATTACAGATGACATCTGCTGTGCAATTTATAATAGACATGCCACAATTTTAACCCTAGTTAGCTTTTCAAAGACTTTTGATTCGTTTACAATCCTCGCTTGCTCCTTAAACTGACTTACTTACTTCTTACTTCTTGGTACGTGCATCCAGCTTCAGGTAATGCCGACCGCACGGTGTCTCTCATATACAAGGTTGGCCAGTCTCCAGTGGGTGGGATCAGTTAGGATTCGTCCAAGAGTACAGTCAGGTTGTAGTCTCTTCTTCAGTTCATCTCTGATATCCAACTTGCGAGTGCAATGAAGGAGGATGTGTTGCAACGTTTCTTCCTCTGTTTGACATACCAGACACAGGGGCGACTCAGCCCCTGTGTCTGGTATGTCAAACAGACATGTCAAGCTCCTTAAACACATCATTTGCTGACATTTGCTGAGACATGTCAAGCTGGTATGTCAAGCTCCTTAAACTGAGCTTGGCTGACTTCTCTGATAAATTGAGTATTATCTTTCTGATCGTTGGCAGTGTATCAAAGTTGGTGATTAATGTTCTCCTGGGGAGCAGATCCCTAGAGGTGTTCCTCAAGGATCTGTTCTTTGCCCACTATTGTTCTCAATTGAAATTATGACATCACGGAACATATCACAAACTCACTACCATCATAGGTTGTATGCTGACAACCTACAAATTTACTCCTACTTCAATGTATACAAGATGAACTTGCCTTATTAGGTAGGGTTATTTATTGTTTTCCTGTGTTTCAGACAGAGCCAGTTGGATGGGGTCTGAGTGCTTGGAGATTACTTAATGATCACCCCTACTATAGACGTGTGGTTCCATCGCCGGAAGATCTTGGAAGAATAGAGTCTCGGAAAGGCCTTATGTCTTGGTTCTCGTCCCTCTATAAATATCACCCTTTTGTAAGCATGATTTACTCTTAAATGCAATTTTTTAGAGAAGGATTAGTTTAAGTGTTGTGTCTTTTTAATGAATAAGAGGTCACCACTAAGTAATCTCTCCACTAAACTTGTTTTGAAAAAGTAATTGCCTATTTAAACAACCCGCCTAAATAATACACTTAATATAATGATGTCTTAACAACATAGGATTGTTAAGAATCGTTAAGATTGAACAAACATAAACTTAAACATACTTCATTATAGATTCGTCAACCTTTCGAATCAATAATTTTTATTCATCGTACGTAAGTGCTATGTACAATACATGCATTGGATGAACGTCATTAAAAAAGAAAAAAAACTAATGGTAGCCTAATGAGCATGTTGTGGATCAGCTCTAGAATGTTTAGAATACTTATGTTTATCTTCAGTTTGGTTTAGTATCTACATTTATTTCGTCTTATCCAAAAACTTTAAAACTATTTTGTCAAATTAAAACTCTAGTTTAATAATCATGAATCAAAGTGCAGATTGTATAATCAACCTTAAAATACTAGAGGAACGTTTATATTTGATATCAATGCTTAGAGTACTTAAAACATAAAAAACACACTTCCCACTTTGAGTCAATGATATTATTAAGCATTAGGCCTACATTAAGATTGATCAACGTGAGTTAGGTATAGAGACGGTAACTTGTCTTAAGAATCCTGGTAGTAAATTTCACAATCAATGTAGGCCTAAGCCTATTGAGCTAAGTTACTGATCCACACCCCAAACCTTACAGTAGTCAATTAAAGATGGTCCAATCAAATTATGCACTGCATTCTCATCCTACCTTTTTTGTGCTGAACAAATATTATTGAAATAATAAACTGTACTTGACTTAAGTTGGGGTGGTCTAGTGATAGAGCTATGGCCCCCAGGTTAGTCCGAGGTTCAAATAGTGCTAATCATTAATGCCTTTTTTGTTTTTTCTGATTCAATTATTTTTTTAAGGCTGCTTATGTGATGAAGCCCCATCCATTCAGGCCTAACCTGAAGAAATGTGTAAAACCATTTTAGGCAAAAAGACATACACAAAATTTGTTTTAAAACTGACTAAAGATAAATTTATGTAAATGTTGATAAACGTTTATTTCACTCTGTAAGTGTTTTCTTGTACCACAGAGTCACTCAGTAGTGAAAGTGTTTATGTAACTAACTCCAACATTTTCTGATTGTAGAGTGTGGTATTTAAAATGGCCATTTGTCCTGAGTCTCAGCTGCTAGCATGCCTTCACACCTGTGGATCCATCTCCGTGTGGCATTTACCATCCCTCAGGTACACCTGCCTAACATTCTGCTATACAATAATTTTGAAAATAACAAGAGAATCATTTGTACAAAAGGTTGTTGAAACGAGGATTTCTGTCATCCAATGCTCGACTGTGTTTGGGGATTATATTGAATTATAAGAAGTTAAATCTCTCTAGCATTTAAACAATATTCTCATATAAATTCTTAAATAGGTTTTGGCGTACCCAGTACGTTAGTTAGCACCTATTAGTGCTCAAGTGATTCGTTAAATTTCATCACTGAGCGTTACTGTCAAATACTGCCTTTATTCATCTATCTATGCTAGAGGGATTTATTAACGCTTTTTGTAAGGGAGCGGTCCAAACTCTGGTCTTGTTACTATGTAACGTCGACCTGTTGTTGGAAAGCATCATTGATTGACAGCCCAATGACACATGCTATCTGGGTGGTCTGGTAAAGCACGGGTCACACTAGGCTGGCATCAGCGGGGAATATAAAGAAGCCGCGACTGTCAGCTTAATGTGACCACAAAATTCGCAGCTGACACTGAGCTGACACAGCCTGGATTGGTGAGCCGGTGATGCTGGTGCCAGCTGCTGATCACCATCGGCTGGCGAACAGCCTAGTGTGACCCGTGCTTAATAATTTATCTTGGTTGAACCAGCAACCTTCAGATTTGAAGGTGTGTACTAAAATCACTAAATTGCACTGACGAGTGTAGCTCTGAGTCTTTCCGTGCGCACAGGTTTGATTCCCGTACAAGTGTAATTTACTAGTGTGTCGGCTTAGTAGGTGAGATGGTTTGGTTAGGTATGCTAACTTAACACTGTTTATATCAGATGATTTGAGATGCTACTGTGTTTGTAATTTAACTTCTCTAGGCTACTTCGGTAAAAAAAGTCTTTTGTACCACCTTGGTAATTGGTCCATCGATCTTTAGCTTATCGCAAAGCCTAACAGTTTAGACACTAAAGTCAATTATTTTATCGGGTAAGATTACACTTCATAGGCATCTCACCTACAATATTATGATTTCACCTGCAAATTTTAATTTAACTTGGTTCAATTCAATTTGTCTGACAGGTTGCGAGGGGTTTGGTCTCTTAGAGAGCAACCTGGTTATGATGTCCAGCCTGATGACGACAGTATCCGCAGTTCTCAGCCGCAAAACTTTCTACCCGTAGACATCAGCTGGTGGCCACAACAGGTACAGATACTGAAGTAAACATATCTGCAGCTAGTTTTATATTGATAGAACATAGTTAAAAGAGCCACTCAGATTGTGCAAGTCAAAATTCTCTGTTATTTTTTTGAAGGTGCTCCTAATCAGCCACTTGCCTTCCCTTAAAAACACTCCTTTGAAGAGGTTTTTCCCATTTAGAAACAGCTGCTTGGTAAAATGCTGGATCAAAAAGCCTAGTCATAGTCATAGTCACTGTTTTTAAAAGGTATTTTATATAATTGTTAAACACAAAATTTGCTAACATGATATTGTGTCTCATCTGAATAAAAAACAGCACAATACACCATTGTTTCTATTATGCAGAAAGTTATGATAGCAAGAGGTAACGGTGCTATAAGCGTTTGTGACCTGGAGGAGTTACGCAACATGCTCGGTGAGAAGCCGGAGTTTGTCTGCGGAGAGCCGAGACTATCACCGTCAACCTCGCAGAAAGGAGTGCTAGTCTTGGAATGTGAAACAGGCAATGGTCAGGTGAGGCCTTCATAAAACTACAATGGTTGGAATATGAGTTGTTAAGATTTAGTTCTCTAAATACAATTACAACCGCCATCAAGCTATACCAGGTTTGAGAGAATACAGAATGGGAATAAGGGATGTGCTTACTTTACTGAAGACAATGTTGTACTGACGTCAGATGTTACAACTAAGTTGACTGTACGACGCCAATTATCCAATCTCCAATCAATAAAAATATAAAATTTTCCAGTTAAATAAAGTTTAAAGAAGTGTTTGAAAGTTTGCGATAATCTGTTACATATTTTAATGGATCCAGTCCCAATTGATCTAGGTAATCGGGTTTCTACTATATTATGTTTTTTACAGGATGCCAACGAGGTGGAAGAAGAAGAACAGTCAATGTTCTCAACTGTGCTCTACTGGCTGACGGACATGGAGAGGTTTCAGCCTCGGAGACGTAGAGCTCGGTCTCAACAGAAGATCTATCGGTTGAGAGGCATCAAGAGCACCACTCCCGAGGAACTGTTCTCTCGCAAGGTGAATACTCACTAGGAGACGCCTAACTGGCATTAATATTGTTGCCATCTAAATTTAAGCATTTTACACACTTATGAGAAAATATGTGGATTGTTAATAGTGGGAATGTTAGTAAAAATCTTTCTTATGAAATATTTTACAGTTAGACATAAGACATGTGGTTTGGATAAGCTGGACCCTGGTGTTTGCAGTAATCAATGCTAGTTCTAATACTCATCATAGTTTCAGAGCACAAGTCTCATATGAAGATGCTTGTCATAAAATCAATTTTGTAACCAACACTCAACTTGTTTGTAGATAAATGCAAAAGAGTTTGAGGAGGCACTTCACCTGGCAGAAGTGTATGGACTAGACTGTGACAGAGTCTATCAGAGTCAGTGGCACAACAGTCCGGTAACAGAAGAGACCATCACAGCTTATCTGGTGAGTAGCTATATAAAATAGGCTTCATACCTGTGTGTGAAACTTATCAAGCAAAGCTGACGAGCTGGTCCAGGATAAAGCCATTGGCTAGTCCAGTCACAGATGATCTGTCAAGGAATGTCAAGTCGTCTGAGTATCCAATCAGAAATGGCTGGACAAGTAAGAAACAAGCTGATTTCACAAAGATATTCGACAGGCGGCAATTCAAGGCTATCGGTAACCAAACAATCTACCAGTTTCAGGAATGAGGCTTAAGAATGGACTGGCATTGAAGCTTGAACCCAGAGTATCGCTGCTATGACTTTGTAGTTCATTGCGCTACTGACTTATCTAAATAATGTCACTTCAACTTGTATTAAAATAATTCAATCATATTATATTTTGTAGTTAAACCCACAAATATGTCCATAAATGGATGATGACTGACAAGTTTTACAATGTCTGTAGGATCTATAGAAAATCATGTTCTCTTCAATCTACCCTGTGAGAAAGTCTTATATTAGGACAAAATATCAGTTTTATGTGTTGTGAACTTTTATTTGAGCATCTATTAGCCTCTGAACTCTAATTTTTACAGTTAAACTTGGTTAATTCAATCTCTCTTCAAAATACAGGGTGAGGCAGTGAAACAGCACGATTCCGATACCAGCTAACAAGGAATTAGGGACTATTAGAGTACGAGGGAAATTACCATAGGCGTCTAGACAAGTGGAAATTTCAGTAGCCATAGAGCATTGGACGGGTGCACAACACGAGTTTGCTGTAAATGCATATTACAAAAACGTGGATATTATGGTTTGTGTTCAGTGCACTTTCCGTTATGAGTTCAGTCTAACGCTGCGGACTCCCTTACCATCAAGGAAAGCTATCCTCTATTGGATGAATAACTACTTTGAAGCCACTACTAGCACGACAAAGCGCTATAAAACAATTGCAGACGTTATGCAAACGCTAAAAAAAAAAAGGTCATGGGCTGATTTAAATTCGTAATTCAACAATGCGTGCAAAACCAACTACGCCATTTTAATGACACTGTATTAAAAAATTATAATTATTTTTAAGGTGAAAAATAAATTTCCACTCATGTACTTAGGATTTATGTTAAAACAACTATCCTTTTTTACTAAATGAATTGTTTGTGGTTTTTCAAAATCGTGCCACTGCCTCACCCAGTATTTAATAAAGCTAGTAAAACTTATATTTTACAATAAAAGAACAAAAGGGAGGCTGTAATAATAATATATTAAAATAGTAGGTATAGCTTGCTATTTTACTAAAAAGTGACATATTGGTGCAGAGCAAGATCAGTAAGAGAGGATGGGTGTTTGAGGAATGCCGCGAAAGAGTCCCTGACACCCTCAGTGCTGCCAGGAAATTGACGGAGTTTGGACTCAGAATCACTTCTCTCTCCTCACTGGCTGAGCTTAGTGGTACGTAAATTAACTAAGTATTTAAATAAATACCAAACTATTTATTGTCAAACTGCACGTTTTGACTCCTAAGCTATGGATAATGAAAGAAATATCACTCACCGACTGTAGATGAACTCAAAATGTTTGCAAATGGAGGTTTTTTTTTTCTCTCATGGGGCTGGGATATTCTTACTCCTTGCTACCTCGACCTACAAGATCTTTTGTAGCACCCTTTTTTGTTTAGTCACCCAACCGAAGTTTTCTTGCGAAGCCAATCAGTTGGTGCACACCCATTTCTCTTATTTCAGTAGGCCTCGGGAATGCCTTTCCTAGGTGTTTCAACCTTTTATGGGCTATCGCCGGACATTCCAGCCATATGTGCTCAGCTGATTCTGTTTCGTAGAGACAGAATCTGCACTGATCTGTCTGTCAAAGTCCTATTGTCTTGAGGTACTTCCTTACATAGCCATGCCCTGTAAGTAGACCTATCAGGAGGCTTATTTCTTCTTTTTGGAGGTCGAAGATGTTTCTCCATTCCTTACTAAGAGGATTGATTAGCATCTTTGATTGTCTCAGGCCTGGGGTATTTTCCCAAACCTTTTCTTGTTTTCCCTTTGCCCAGGCTAAGATTTTTGATTGGCCCTTGCTCACTGGGACTCCGCAGCATGGTTCAGGCCCAATGAGTTCGGATTTTGCCCCCTCGCCCGCCAGGACGTCAGCCCTTTCGTTGCCTTCGTGCCCAGCGTGACCTGGGATCCATGCAAGTTGGATGCTGTTGTGTTCGCTCAGGGCCTTGAGGGTGTTCCTGCAGCTCTGCACAACTTTAGATTCCACCACGCAGGCGTCAATTGCTTTGAGAGCAGCTTGGCTGTCTGAGAGGATAAGCACCCCTCTCCTCTTCAGGCCTTTATCCAGCTGCAGACTCGCACAATGCTCTATTGCCATGACTTCCGCCTGGAAGACAGTCGGCGTTTCGCCGAGGGCCTTTGAGAGGCAGGTTCCAATCCCATACACTCCAAGTCCCGACCTGCCCTCCCTCCGCGATCCGTCTGTGTAAAACACCATCGCCGACTTTCCTGTTTTATCCCTTACCTTCTGCCATTCTCCTCTGTCTCCAATGGCCACTTGGTAGGGTTTATCAAAGTCGTTCTGCCTAATCATAAGATCTGAGACCGTCATTTCCATATCTAAACTTGGGAGTTCCCTTAGGATTGACATGTGACCCGTCCTTCTCAAAGAAGATATTTCTCATTTACTACAAGTCTTCAGGGCTGTTAATGCTGCCCTTTTCTTTATATCCAGCCCGAGTGGGAGTGCACCTAAAATTGACTCCATCACCACTGTCGGGCATGATCTTGTTGTGCCACATACCCCTGTGCAAGCAAGTCTTTGCAGTTGTTGCAGCTTTGCAGCTGCCCCAGTTTGCTCTGCCTTCTGCCACCACACCAGGGCTGCGTATTCCACCATAGGTTTAACTATAGTTTCGTATAACAGATCAGTCTAGGGTTGAGACCCCATTTTTTGCCAAATGTTCTTCTGCAGGCGCCCATGGCTCCTGTTCCCTTGGCGATGACATGATCTATGTGCCGGTTCCAAGTCAACTTCTGATCTAAGTATACACCCAGATATTTAGTCTCCTTGACTGACTTGACCCTCATTCCCCTAATTTGGGGTGGGGAGATTTTGGTTCTCCTTTTTCTCGTGAAGGTCACTATTTCAGTTTTTGTGGGGTTGATTGTCAAACCCTTTGTGTTACACCAATTGTCGATGAAGTATACCGCCCGCTGGGTAAGGTCCTCAATGGTACCTTTGTGTTTCCCTCTCACTGTCAGCATTAGATCATCTGCAAATGCCTGTAGGTCAATGCCTGTTTGTTCAGCTTCTCTCAGCAGGCCATCAACCACAAGTGTCCATAGCAGGGGAGATAAAACTCCTCCTTGCGGACACCCTCTTCTGGCCTCGACTATAACCGACGAGTCTCCGACCGTGGCTGATATTTCTCTGCTTTGGAGCAGAGCCATTATCCAGCACACTATTTCTTGAGGAATTTCTCTGTTTGTAAGTGCTTCCTCTATTGACTGATAGGACACATTATCAAAGGCTCCTTGGATGTCCATGAAGACTCCTGCTAGGATTTCCTTGTGATCTAATGTGTCTTCTATTCTCACTACCAGGCTATGAAGCGCTGTTGTAGTCGATTTGCCCATCATAAAGGCATGTTGGTTCACATTCAGGCTTGAGTTCATGAGAATCTCATCTCTCACGTGCCTGTTAATGATCTTCTCCATAGCCTTTACCATGAATGAGGTTAAACATATTGGTCTGTAGGATTTAGGCTGAGGTGGTTTAGAAATGGAGGTTACTGGTTAGTAAATGTTTCACTGCAATGATGGCATCATTAGCTGTTGAGGTAAATGTTGATCAGGCATTTTTATGTAATTTAATCTATGTTCGTGTGTATTATGCTTTTACAAGTTTATTTGATCATTGACAAATTTATCGGCTGAACTTAGATGTGTACTAAACTTATTTATACAAACATATTAAGTTGATTGACAGTAAGTTAGATATCTTCTATTTATTTTCACATAAAATATTTTCCCCAATAACTTTTCATGTAAAGCTATAAACCCCACAAATTCTTTTAATTATGTTCGGAATTAAAGCCATACTTCTTGCACAAAAGTCCAAGACGTTTTAGGCTAGGGACTCACCTGAACAATAGTTCAATTATTTTAAGTCTTGATCTAGAGATAGCTTAACATATCTACAGTAGAACCTCTTTAATCCGAACTAATTGGGACCAGGGGTAGTTCGGACTATTGAATAGTTCGGATTACAGAACATATTGTTGTTTTTACATAACAATAGCTAAAACATGGCTAAAATTGATTAACATTATTTTGGGGAAAGTGAAAAAATGTTTTATAAAGTAAAATACAGTGTTTATTTAATACAGTAGTAAACATGGTGAATAAACAGTACTGTAAATTAAATACAGTATACAATAAAGAACTGCTGTACTGTGTATAGAGTACAGCAATGAGGGGTTCGGATTAGTGGACGTTCGGATTAAAGAGGTTCTACTGTATTTAGAGATGGCTTTCTTCTGATATAAAATGTGGGCGATTTTAAAACTTGCTCGAGACAATGGGACACTAAAAATGTTTTTTAACCCTGTATTGTAGCAGTAATCTTATTATTTTGAATGAAATAATAAGTTTAATGTTTATTATAAATAATAATTAATATTAAACTGTTGGATGGTAAACGTTTTTAAATAAATTTGATCCTATAGATACTCAACTTTTATGTAATATTTGCTTTTTCATTGGCATTTTAGGTGTTGGTGTTGGTACATAATAAAATGTGTGCCAACACTTTTTAATAAATCCACCCCTATACTGAAATCATTTACTCCACAGAAAATATACAAAATATGTTAAAATGGCCATTTACAGTCATTATTAGAGTCAATCGAAGCATTTGGTGTTATTTGTTTCATTATTAGTTGTTAGTTACATGCATGCATATCTTCAGCTTTATATCAATAGTTACAACGAAACATTGTTTCAGACAATGACACAATCACTGATGATACACAACTGATGATGAAGGAACTGATGTCGCTTCCAGCTGAGGAGCTGACTGATGATCAGAAAAGTTTGATCCTCACTAGACGAACGTTGCTCAAGTTTTCAGACAGATTGTTTACTTATGAGGTAACTAATGTTTTGAATCATAACATTCGGTTTTAATAAGTACTACTATAGTTTGGCCGCTTAGAAAGCGACCTGCGCGCTAATGCTAACAAATGCTAGAGGAGGTCGCTATCTTAGCGGCCAAACTATAGTGTGTGGTTGTTTTGTAGTTTTTTTTTTCAATGAGACAACTTCCATTAAAAAAAGTTTAGTTTCTCTATAATTGGTCCAATTTGAAAAGAAAATTTTTGCGAAAGATTAAACGTATCGATGAACAATGTTCAATCAGTCTTGAATTTTAAGCTGTGTAAAAAAAGTATCATAGCAGTTTCATATGATTCATCTTTAGTACAGAATTTGTTATTGTAGCGGCTGCAGGATCCGCACAGTGGGTTGTTTTTGTTTGTTTTGTTTTTCTCGAAAAATAATCAATCTTATACTTTTTTTTTACCTTAAATTCGTATACAACTATTTTACTTTTACTTCATGGAGGATATTAATGTCTTTAGCGACAGCTACAGGCAAATTGAGTGTACAACAATAGAATACTTAAATGACATAGGGTTAGCTTTTAGCAAAGGTAAAAGCTTTTTAAACATTCTCTACATGAATATTCGAAGTTACAATAAAAACTTTGAGTTACTTCTTATCTTGCTTCAATCGGTAGTTTTAAAGTTTGATATTATTGCGCTGGGGGAAACGTGGTATGGGGGTGTTGGGGAGGGGATGCATTTAGAGGGGTATAAACTGTTTCGGACTACTAAAGGGAAAAATCAAAATGATGGGGTATTGATGTATGTGAGTGAGAGAGTGAATGTGTGTGAATGTAATGAACTGGAGCTGGGCGACGTGTACGGGTTGACTTTAGACTTTGTTTATCAAGATAAGCGGTGTAATCTGCTATCTGTGTACAGGACTCACGACAGTGACTTGGATAATTTTACTTACGCTCTCGAAAAATACTACGAAAACAAAAACAGTCAAAAAACCTATTTTTTAATAGGTGACATCAATGCGAATCTGCTGGAAACTGACAACAAGACAGAGCGTTATTTGGATGTCTTGTATGAATATGGTTTTATGAATGGTATAAATGTACCGACTAGAGAGGTAGGCGATAGTAAGACATCCATTGACCATATTTTTATAAGTCACCACGACTTTACTGCACTACGAACTGCTGTTGCGAAGACTGAGATAACTGACCATTACAGTGTTTGTCTACAGATTAACTTCTCCAACAAAACAGAACATACATTACAGGAACTTCACACCTACATAGACAAAACGGAACTGAGTACACATATAAAAGAATGCGACTGGACAGACATTGTACAGGCAAATGACACAAATACATGTTCAAATATCATGATTTCAAAAATTCAAGATCTTGTTAGCATGTCAACAAAAACTTTAAAAAAACCGAACTCTAAACTCAGGAAATTAAAGCCATGGATCACACATGACCTGGTTATTAAAATTAGAGAAAGAGATAAACTTAGTAAACAGATTAAAAAACAACCTTTTAATACAGTTTTGATTGATAATTTCAAAAGATTAAAAAATGAACTAAATAAAAATATTAGGGAAACCAAAAATAAATATTATAGGGAAAAGATTTTGGGGTATAAAGATAATCCGAAAAAGTTTTGGGGGGTTTTAAATGAATTGGCGGGTAGAAGCACTAAACACGACATTTTCCCACTTTCTCAATTCACATTAAACAAACCATACGCAAACACTGACGACGATTTGAGACCACTGGTGGCCAACGAATTCAACGTCTATTTTACCCAAGTTGGTTCAAACATGGCAGCTAGAATTGATTCGAGTGGTCCACCTGTGGTACACGACTCTGACTATGCTGTTGACTCCGTCCTCACACTGCACACTGTTACTGAACATGAACTGCACGGCTACGTCACCAGACTGAGAGGAGGCTCAGCTCCAGGGTATGATTGTGTATCAGCTGATTTACTCAAGGACAACTGGGAATCAATAAAACAGCCACTTTTACACATCACTAACATGAGTATCCGGAGTGGAGTTTACCCCGACGCCTACAAAATCGCTAAGGTTGTTCCTCTATTCAAGTCAGGAGACTGCTCTAAGACTTCGAACTTTAGGCCGATCTCATTGCTGAGTGTATTTACCAAGGTTTTGGAAAAGATAATTAAAGACCAGTTAACTAATTACCTTAATCATTATAACATTTTAACTTCACGTCAATTTGGATTTAGGAAATCGAAGAATATCTCTGACGCCTTGTTTGAAGTTAACAAAGATATTAATTTAGCTGTCAATAAAGGAAACAAGGCCGTGCTGGTATTTTTTGATTTAGCTAAAGCCTTCGACTCTGTCGACAGATCAATACTATTAAAGAAAATGGAGTTAATTGGAATAAAAAACATTTCATTAGCATGGTTTAAATCATATTTTTTAGATAGAAAACAATTTGTAGTCATAAATAGAGTTCAGAGCAATTTAGCTGAAGTAGACTATGGCGTAGTTCAAGGAAGTACCCTTGGTCCTTTATTATTTCTAATATATATAAATAATCTAGTTAAAATAGACATTGAAGGGAAGTTTTATCTCTTCGCAGATGACACTCTAGTATTATTTGAAGGTAAAGACTGGGAGACAGTTCTCAACCTCGCAGAAAGAGGTATTTCAAAAATTAAAAAATGGTTTGATCAAAATGTTTTGACACTCAATGTAGATAAAACTAAATTCATGCCAATCGCTTTTAGTCATCGTGGTGATACACTCATCAATGAGTTGAAAATTCATTCTTGTGCTAACTTTGATTCGGATTGTGACTGTCCAGTGATAGATAGAGTGAAAAAATATAAATACCTTGGCATAATGATTGATTCTAAACTTTCATGGGCAGACCACGTATCATATCTAAATAATAAACTAAGAAAATATATCTATGCTTTTAACCAGTTACAGCAGATTTTGGAGTTTGAAGAAATCAGAATTGCATATTTTGCTTACGTGCAGTCCCTACTTGACGGAGGAATAATAGCCTGGGGCTGTGCATATGGTTATATTTTAAAGCCATTAATTATCACCCAAAAAGCGATAATAAAAGCAGCCTTAGGCAGGAGTCGGCGCTACCCTTCGGATGCTCTCTTCAATGAAATGAACGTTCTCGACATCAGACAATTGTTTATTCGAACCATGACTATTTACATATTCAAACACTCGAATGACATTTTTGAAAGAGTAACACACGAATACAGAACCAGACATGCACTAGGTGGAGGAATTTATTTACCGAGACTAAATAGAACCTACTCTACAACAAATTGCTACTATGTTGCTCACACTATCTACAACAATCTGCCCTACAACTTACGTGAAAACTATTTTGGACCACTGGTCAAATACAAAAAACAAATTACCCTATGGCTACAAAGCATTGGGAGATCAACTGCTCAAAATTTACTGATCTCAACCTACAGACAATGATCAACCTACAGCCAACAAATTTACACTCACATCAGCTGATAGAGTGAAAGAACGATTGTATGCAAGCACGTATGTGAGCTGTTCCCGATTCTGCGCCACAGGGACAGAGCATTGACGGCCCTAGGGCTACCAGCCGCCTGTTGGTGTCGGAGTGAGTGCAGCAGTGTGTATGTGTGTGTGTGTGGGTGTGTGTGCGCGCGTGTGTGGGTTCGGGTCAGTTTGGGTGTGCTTGGGAAGTACAGTAGCAGGTTATCTTTTGGGGGTAGGGTAGGGGGGGGGGGGGGGTGGGGGGCACCATTCGCTCAGTCCTCCAGCGCAACTTTAAACTTTCAACTTTTAACTTGTTCTAATTTCCTTTTTTTCATAATTTAAAAAAATCTCTAATAATATAACGACTCTCTCCCACTCACAGGATTAAATTATCCTTTGTGGGGGATAATTTCGCTTGATTTAAAAAGCTTTTATAGAAAATTAAATATAACCTAGGAAAATAAATAATATTGTAAATACTTTTGTACAGTGATCATAATATTATGTTATGTCTGTTTTTTGCGAAATAAATGATATTTTGATTTGATTGATTGATTGACATATTTACCAGCAGAAAAATTGAGTAGATAACAATAAAAAGTAACTTATTAAATTGTTAGGAAAAAAGTACATCACATTGTAACATTTTGGTGTCTTAATTGCTTTCTTTGTTATTTTTTCCTAGCTTGAGTGACTTGCTCGTTAAATTGTGTTCACCATATTTTCAGTGATTAACCAAAAATTTCAAAAGACTCTTATTAAACATATACTCAAAACTTGAACAAATTCATTTCATTTGTTAAAAGTACACATGTCAAAATATATTACATTTAAATTAGTGTTGTAGCTAAGTTTTTATAGTACTTATCTATCAATATGATGATTGCTTGTACAATACTAGCTTTTTTATGGTTGAAAACTGGACCCGAGATTTTTTATTTAACTTTTAATAAATTTTTTAAAGATACATCTGATCTTGGTAAAAGCTACATAAGGAATATCACTCATCCCTTCATTCATATTTCACATCTCCATTCACCTTTGGGTTAAAGTGTGTCTTATTTGTATTATTATGTCATAAAAATGAGAAATTGAAATAGCTTTTACTAATCTAGTATAAATGAGTTTCTTAAAGAAAATTCAAATGTATGTATTTTGTTCACCGAAAAATATATTTGAAAATTGATGTATTTTTCTACATAATACTCATTATGTACGCAACTCGTATAAAGTTAATAAATTTGATTTGATTTGTAATAGTTGTTTATAAAGATATTTTGCTAGTGAACAGTTTTTGTCACATAGAAGATTATCAACTCGTCTGAGGTTGATTACGACCGGGAGGCGTACGACAGGTTCCGTCGGCAGCCAGTAGCACAGTCTGCGCTGGAGTACGCTCGTCGCTCCGACCACCACGCAGTCGCTTTGCTACTAACACACCACGGACCTGAAACTCAGCCCTACTGGCTGTCCATACTGTCTAACTTCCCAGAGACTACCGACCCAGGCTCTTACAAGTAGGTGAACTGACAGAAATTGATAAACTATATCCCTTGTTTATAGATGATGGTATCTGATTGCTCCAACAAAGTATAAATGGTTATTTAAGAGATTATTGCTAAAATGACTTTAATTAATTATAAAATAATTAATAAAAGCACGCATGTTAACCCAACACAAATTCTAATTCATAAATGTTTTAATGTTTTTCATGTTTTTTTTATATGTTTTAATGTTTTTTCATAACATAAACAAAAGAAAAATATATGATAAAACTAATTATAATGAAAAATAATTATAAATGAAATATTGTACAGTCTTGAAAGTATCTAAAACATAACATAATTACTACATAATTACTACACAAACCCTGGCAAAGCTGCATAATGGAAATAACCACACAGATAACTGTAAAGTAGTCATACAAACACATTAACCCGTAATACAATAACTAGTAACAAACGAGATTATGAGAACACAAGAAACATGTCTTCACAAAATGTTCATTCGTGCAAGACTGTAAAATAATCATCTTGTGGAGACATGTCGATGAATCTTTTTTCAGTCTCGCCTGAGTCTACATAAACGACCATCTTGTCCAGATATTTAAATAATTGTGATAGTACATGTCTGCAGTAAGATCACTAAACAACATAAACTGGCCATCACTAAAAATTAACTTTTAACAAAGAAGTACAAACTGTTGTGATGATCAGTTTAGAAGTCCCATTCTACTGAATGGTATTTCAAAAAAAATAATTAATGTAATGAATGAGATGTAATTTCCAATCTAAAAATGTTTTCGGAAGCTGATATTGTGTTTTTATGATTAGTAAGTCTTTTTATCCAATCTGTTTGACATGTGACAGTTAAGTGGCATTGATTAAGTCAGACCTGGGACTGATCACCCCAAGAATATAAAACCATTGTTGTGCTAGCCAACAATGCTGACATGTTGCCACCTGATAGTCACTGGTGCTTCAAAGCTATGAGGAAAATTATAACTTTTAAATAAGTGGCACCCTTAATATATTCACTTGCAACCAACTTTTAAGGAAAACATTAACTAAACCTCATTTGGCGAAAAGAACCCTGCCCATCTCCCTAAGCTGGCTGGGACATTTGGAGGGTGGCAGACAGATCAACAAACTCTTAGACAAATCTCAAAGATACTGCTTGAAGGTTAAAGAGTAAATGAAACATTTTACAGGGACCTGCTTCCAGAGTGTTCAGTCAATGGAGAAGTGTTCCAATGGGAGGAGAAAGAAATAAGAGGAAGAGACTGGAGTGAAAACGAACACTTTGCGTAAGTAAGCTATTAATTGGTGTGTGGTAAATTAGATCGTGCTGTGTCAAAAGTTAGATTTTAACTTTTATTTAGGTTAAGTGATCAATGTGGTTGTCAAAACAATCTCAAATTGTTACCAAAGTGATATGTGATTAAAGCCCAAAGACTACTTGTGGAATTGTAAAAACATGTATGTTAGAAAAATGTTGATAGTAAATTATTTTATTTAATACGTTAGTTAACCTTCTAAATTAAGTCAGAGCTGGATAAACAGGCACAAATCTTGAGGTTAAATAAAACTTATACTTCGTTCACAAAATTTAGACGTTTTGACGAGAAGTGATTCCATCACCTCCCTCCCACTTTAACTTTGAAACAACAGCCAATAGGTGCCAGTTGATCAGCTGACATATACGTTAAGATTAAGCTATAAAAGTAGTGGGGGAAGACAGAAAACCTTCCCTTTAAACCGCCTAAATATTGTGAACAGACTCTAACATGAATAAATCTAACCTAACATCAAGTTAATACACTTCAAAGGAAAGGCCAGCAGCTGAATAGAAATTTCTTTACCATCAATTGAGAGTCCAGGGGCTATAGATAGTAAGAAAATAAACATATTAAATTCAAAATTAAGTCAAATTGTTTTGTAGGGAAAATATGTAAATTGATTATTTTATAAAAAAAGAGAAATTTTGATTCGATTTGAGTTAATGTTACAGTCACTGAAGATTACCCCTTACCCCAGTTTTTATTTTAGGCTAAACTTTTTTACATACCGGTAGTCTCAAGTTTTTTGTGTTTCTTGTGGCAGACTGGAATCTTTTCCATTCATATTATCTTTATTTCCTGTCAAAAATCCTCAATTATAATCTCAATTTGACCTGTAAACACTTATGGGTAATTTACCGCGTAGTTTTCTGGAGCGAGTAGAGGACAGCTTGCTTGCGCCGGACGGACCTATGACCCCTGGAGTGGTGGAGGAGTGGTTCCGCAATCGAGTGTACGAGCTGGAACTCATGAGTAACATGGTGGACCAGCCTCTGCAACTGGTGCGGCTGGCGAGAGAGCGCAACATCAAGGTGAACAAAACACAGTTTAGAAACATACAATTGTCAATATGTATTAACTAATGAGGTTAATTGTAAGAAAAGTCCGTTCGGTCCTAAGTTTAACTCAACTAAGTATTTTCCTACATCGCTTCATCCAATTATCCATTCATATATCCATCCATCCATCCATTCAACCATCCATCATGTGAGAAAGTGTACAAGTATTTGCGTAGGAGGTTTTCTGAATGAATCCTCTACAGTTTGGATCCAAAGGGTACGATTGAGAGGAAGTATGTAAACTTCAACTTTGCACATCTACTGACATGAGTTTAGGAGATTGTTGTATTTATATTAATAACAAAATGTTGTTTATAGGGACTGGACAGTTTGTACAACGAGCTGGTAACGCTGGACGTTCTCATTTACGATGTTGGAATGGAGAACATCACACTGAGGGATCTAGAGATCATGACTCCATTGCAGCAGGCTCAAGCTCTCATGAGTCAGGTAAGTCTAGGAGCATAACACCCTTGGTGCTTAAAACTGATGAAGAACTCCTGGCGATCATCAACACAAAACTGGTGCATTGCAAAGATAGATAAATTACTTTTTTGAATTTTCCAAGCATATTGGTCACTTGTATGTAATTCTTCAAAAGCTTTAACGTAGCCTATCTTTAATTTTCCCAGATACAACTCTCACTAATCTTAGATTATTTCGGGTAGACTTTTGTCTCTTACTTTAAATTCTTCCAGGTCCAACTACACCCTGTCCCACCCTTGCTGTCCTACTTCTTTCTTCACACGTGAATAATGATTGACAGAAGACTAACTTCACGGTACGATAAATTTTCTGAATTCTAACTCTTTTTGTGTACATTTCGATCTAATTAACTATTATCCTTGGATTTGAAAGTTAATAACAAATGTTTCAGTCGAACGAGGACAACTTTGTGGAGCACATGAGACACAGGTTGTTGCCGTATTTGCAGCGCTGTGAGAAGCTCCGGCCAAACTCTCGGAGAAATCTACTGTCTCAGTTCCTCGCTCAGATAAGCATCGGAGATCTCTCTCGGCCTTTACAGGTCGGTGTGTTCGGAAGTAAATCTATATATATAGTTAATATACAATTTACAATCTAAAATTACAGTTAGAACAAAAACAAAATCATCAAAATATTTGTTACAAAACTTGTGTTACAAAAATGTCACAAAACTACAGTTTATGTGCTGTATATTCTTTTCACATCATAATAGACTAGACTCACAATCTTAGCTCATCTACTACTACTGCTACTGCTACCTACTACTGCTCACATACTATGCAATCCTGTAGGATTAGTTTCTCAGCATCAGTGTAGGTAAAGAAAGTTTACAAAATTATTGCTGTCATGAGTGTAGTCACTTCTCACTGGTTTACTTACAAAAAAATTAAAAACTATTTACAATACATATACTTATATATACTAGGCCTTTCATGTGTTTAGCTAGCTGCTTTGGAAGTTTAGAAAACTCATACAAACGGTCCCTATTATCAAATTACCCTTTTTATCTGACAGACGAGTGTTTGTTGTCTGTTGCCGCAGATGTTTGCCCACTGTATAGCCGAGCCACACTCTGGATTGGTAGAAAGCACTGAGGAACTGATCAGTATGGCACTGGACTCTGTGTACGGCTACACAGGCACGGATCAGCTGGCGAAGGCAGACACCATCTTGAAGATACTTCCTGTCAACTCTCTTGGGTCAGTCACACCACAGACACTAGACACACAAGTAGTAATCGAGGATAAATACAAGGGCTATTCAGGAAGTATGGAAAACAATATTTTATTATATACATCTGAAAGAGCATGTAAAAACTACTTGTCTTCTCAGTCAAATCAATTGAGTTATTTGTCAAATTTTTGGACGAGCATTAAAATTCCTTTTTCATAGGATTCAGCCACCTACGAGCTCAGCCAACTTACACACAATTAAAGGTCTTCATCGTAATCAAAGGGCTGTGCTGCTAACCAAGTCTTCACTTTGGTGCAAAAAATAAGTGAAAGTCACTTAGAGCCAGGTCTGCACTCTAGGGTGGGTGGTTCAGGGAAAAATCTTTCAATTTAATGATATCAAGTGTGTGATTTGATGTATGAGCGTTTTCATGCATAAACAAAATCTTGGATATCACATACCATTTCCGAACAGAATTTTCATGTATTACGTTTTTTTTGTACACTTCACACCCTCGATGAATTTCTATAGGTTTTAAGTGTATGACCAACAGAAACCATATTAGAGAGCGCACCTCGTAACTGGGGGGTTTTCAACTGTAGCACACTTTTTAAAACTGTAATATTGGGATAACAAGCAGCACAATGGCACTTTCTCTGTCACAGCTGGATAGTTGTTGACGAGGCGAACATTTCTTTAGTAGAAAGTAGACAACCACTGATTACCTATCTGAGTGACAACTGACTGCTTATCGGAGCTAAATGAAAACGTTCTTTACTTTCTGAATAGCCCTTGTATTTTAAAGGAAAGACAGGTGGCTGGCTAGGAATTGTTATGAGTAAAACATTGATTTAATACATAAATACTTTGAAGTAACCCCTACTATAAATAACACTAGCTGAAAATCATTGCTCATTTATGATTACAACATAATTGTTGCATTGACTTTGGGTACTGGAAGTATTTCTACCATATTGGCCTCTCACAGTGTGCAACTTTTAAAATTATATCTTATGTTAAAAAAATAACTTCATGTTGTTAGCCTCCAGATCACTATTTTAGTAATAAATAATGGTTTAAATACCTTATACTGTCAAAGTTATCCTTTGTAGTCTATGTAGGCACTGCAGTTTTGCTGAGATAACGCATCAGTCTAGACCTGCCCTCCGTGCGTATCGTGTTTCCCGGTACCGGGATTTTTGTAATGATTATTAATTTTATTGTTCGTCTTTCCGTTTAAATATGTGACATCGGTGGATTTTAACTTCAACGACTTCCTCTGGAACGAAATTTGATGTCCTTGACAGCTTGATGAAGGTCCCATCGGAAACGAAACTGCAGTAGCCTATATAGACTACAAAGGATCACTTTGACAGTATAAGGTAATTCATTAAGCCATTATTCATTAAAAACATAACAACGGCATGTAAACATTTTAAACACAAAACCCCAAAGTAAAAAAGTACATAGGTCCTGAATCTTACCATAAAGTGCACAGTACTGTAATAGCTATTTCCTTATGCGGATGGAATCAACGTTTGCAGGTTGAGTGAGGCAGGATTGAGTGAGAGGGTGCAAGCGGCCCGAGAAGAGTTGAAAGTCGCCCAAATACTGAAGGGACGAGGACATCAGATGAGCTTGTCATCTGTTCGAGCTCTGAGACAAGATGTTGACACAGCCAAGTCCCTACTGGTTCGGCTCACTTCTGCTGTTGGGACAAAGTAAGATCATACATTCTTTAGTCTAAGTTAAACATCGCTCTTCCAAAATGTATGTCCTATGTGCAAGCACACTAATAAGTCATATACTACAGTAAGGAGAATTTTTGAAATATCTACCTGAGAAATTTGGAATCGTCCTTAATATTTTGTAGCTTGCTGGATACCCTGAACGACACTTTCAAAAGAGCGAAGATTTTTGGCTGGTGTATTTAGGTGTCTCGGTACTAACCATTCAACCTGCAAGTATATCTTTTATAAAACTTATGGATCTTTTTCAAGAAGAGCAAGAAGGACGCCACTGTTAAAATTTGGCCAATGCAAACACAGGTGACGTAAATGAGTTATGCGTACTGTTGGGGATGCATATTGCTCGTTATTTTATCACATGATGTAACAAGTGGACCGCTCTTGCTCCAGCCAGTTAAGTTGTATTATCTACATAATCATATTGTTATTAAAAACTAGCCCTATCAACAGTAAGAAAGTGCCCTAACCTAACTTCCTTATTTATATCACCCTAATATACCCAACCAATTAAAGCAACCTCAATGTGGTTTAAATGATTGTAAAGAGTTAAGAAATACAATTTAATTATTGTTTGTGATTATAGAGTGCCCGTTGCAGAAGAAGCGGATTGGAATCAACTTCTGCAAGATCTTCTGCAGATGCAGAAACTAGTCTTGACATGCATTCCCCTGCAAATGTGCTATGAGGTGTGTTATAGTTAAATTTATTTTTTCAACTCCAGTGATAAAAACTTAAAAAGATTTTTTTAATTCGATACAATATTTGTTCAAAAATGTACAGTAAACCCCCTCTTATCCGGCCTACGTGTGACCGAGCCCCTGTCCAGGTCGGATGAACCAACCTATTATTAAAACGATAATTTAAATCTAATAACAACTAGTGCTTGGTTAAAAGTATTGTTTAAGTCTCTTTTCAGAATCTACTAGCTCAACTGAGTAGTGAACCTGATAAAAAACGTATATGAACAGGAAACAGATAAACCGTTAGAATGCTCAAATCATGGAGATTATGTTTACAGCTGTGGGAAATATTTTGGTATCGATTCCGAGAAATCATAATACAAATTATAATAACAAGTAACAAGTATGTATCTGATAAACCGAGGACCAGAAATTCCGAGATTAGGGCTTCTACTGTATTAAATAATTAATTTCAACAACCGACAGTAGAGCAATAAAAAGAGGCTTTATAAGTTTTCTTTCCTTGGCACATAGATTAATAGTAATATGAGACCCTTCCGGATTATCGAGAGCCAATTGTATAACAATGACTACTTTGTATAAATATACCACGAAGTTTACTATTGTACAACTATTTTGTCTCAAGAGAAGCTGGTCTAGGGACAAAGCACAGTGTTTTGTTCCTGAGGTCTCTGGTTCAAATCCCGCCAACCACCACTGTGCCCTAGAGCCTCTAGACCAAGTCAAAAGTAATGTTTAAAATGGTCCCGAGCCAGTATCTAGCTTCTTGAGAAGTGAAACACTCTCTTGTGAAAGGTTCATGTAGCGGGACTGTTGGCCAGTGACAGTCTGTCCGTGGTGCGTTCGGCTGTGCGCTCGATGTGCTGCCATCGTGAGGAGCAAGGCCGCAAGCCTCTGCCACTCGAGCGCAGCGTGGCGCTCGTGCTGCAAGCTGCCACCCATCACTTTGACTCTGCAGAGACACTCACTGATCACCAGATCAGCTTGGCTAGGTAATTGAGTCCGTCATTTTTTTAAGTCAATGTGAAGTGTGTTAAACTCAAATTGCGTGGTTTTAAAACAAAAATGAATTTAAGTAAAAATTAGATCAACACAAAAACTGAAACTTTTAAATTTTCATCCACTTGCTTTTTCTTACTTTTATTTTATTTATTTGAAAAAAATCACAAATTTTTACAAAATGTTATAAACAACTTGCTGCAAAAGCAAGGAAAATTTAGCTCATAGAGAAAACTTGTTCTTGATAACAAACTATTTTGTCATTTGGTCAGTCCTTGTCCATATTAAACTTTGGTTTTCCTTGTCTCTTTGTCAAGATCTGCTATCATTGTTGTTTCCACTTATACTCTACCTTTCTATAGAAGACTAACATAAACTTGCTTTAACAACAACTTGAAACAATTATCTTAAATAAATAAATATATACTAATAAATAACATGCATTTAATACTATTCAACTTTAACAATAATATAATGAGTAATTTAGACAAAAATATTCAATCAGATTTAAAATGGATACTTGGTGACAGTTAGCAAATTAACAATATTGTAATATTAGATAAATTACAGGAGATGGAACAAATACACAACTTAACTAAGGGTTAAGTGTTCCTGGAAGTAGAGAGCATACAAAAAAACTTTATACTTGAAACAAAATAAAAATTTGCCCCCAAAAAAGACCTTTAAAAAAAGCGTAGTGAAAAAGCTTTCAATGGGAAAATTATCAAGTTAAATTATTAGGGGTAGTTGTACATCCGTTCCATATTGTAGTTTTTGCTCCAAAAACAAACAAAAATTTAAGATTGAATTCACAACTATATTGCAGTAGGATAAGTTAAGTTTCATTGATTTCAATTTGATTAACATTGCATTGTTTCTAATTTGCAAATTTCAGAGGCTGTTTAAACATAATAACGGATGATAACGCAGAAATTCAAGAGGAAAAGGACTTGATTGCGGGGCTCCAGCTTCTCAATGAATTCAAAATCAGTATACTCCCAGTGCAGGGTAAATATCTACATTTGGTGTTGTTACTTTCTTTGGAAAACATAATCATTGATTTGTTACTTTGAATAATAAGAAGCTCAGCTAGCTTACTAAGCAATATGGATTCCAGAGGCGTATATACTAAAAACAATTTTACATAACACTGATTATTCGTCCTAGTACATTCCTCAGGCAGATTGAAGAAAAGTTCAAGTATCACAATCAGAACTGCTTGTAAGATAGTTTCAACGGTTTTTAATTTTAACTTACGTCTCACCGGTACAAAATATTAGTGTTATGTTATGTGAGAATTTTGTTTATGTTCTGTAAGCCCCTGGGTTTGATCTAAAGTACTATCTGATCTAAAGTACTATCTGATATAAAGTACCATCTGATCTAAAGTTCTATCTGTCATCTGATATATCTGATCGTTGTTCACTTTCCCAAAAAAAGAACTCCTAATAAACCTCAAGGCTTCCCCTCTAAATTAAAACAAAGTTTTCTCGTAGGCATGCCACAGTAGTAGTTTAGAACTTTTTATTTTCTTTCCTATTTTTCTTTGTTTTTGTTATAAACTCTTCCTTGAAGTAAAGTAAAAATATTAAAAAAATTATATATCTTATGACATTATATATCTTATGACATGGTATATCTTATGACATTATATATATCTTAGTACATTCAAATTAGGTTTGGTTGATTTGTGTGCAAGAGCTACGGATGATAGATGAAAAATCTTCAAAAAAATTTAGGGGCTCGGACCCCTTTGCGATGCTTTAGTGCTCTCTCTTACAAAATTCCACTATTGTTGAAACTAAAAATAACTTTTTAGAAAGCATCAATTTTCTTTTCTGTGCACCAAGATTTTTATGAAAATAGTCGGTTTACGTAAATGGAAAAGAGTTTACTCTTCCACAAGAATTTAGTTTTCACAGTTATTTGTGTTTCTTTTACAAAAGTGAACTATTTTCCATTCAATTTTCTGTTATTTATTTTACTTTTACTTTTATTACTTTTAATTGTAGCCTTTAACATTTAAATAAGGACCTAGCTGAACTTGTAACAAACTTCATTTCTGTTTACACCATTTTTAAATTGATTTTACTAACTAAAAAACTAACACAACTAAAAACATCGGAAGTTTTACACTTTTTTACAGTTTCTAGGAGGCTGAACATTTTACCATTGCTCAATAAAGTACTATATTCAATTCTCAACACAGTTAAGCCTGTTGTCCTTAAACCTAGGCCCTTTTGCTCTAAGTTATGTGTTCTATACAACAGTTAGACTGTGCAAGGAGCGAATGCAGCTGATAGAGTCCTGCTTGACGTCACGGCCAACGTCTTACAAGGATTATCACAAGTTGTTGTCTCTGGCTCACAAGCTGAGGATCTGCGGAAATGACTCACGACTGCGGGAAGGCACTATACTACTGCGAGTTGCCAACATTGCATTCCAGGTGTGTGTAACCATTGACTGTATATACACTTGACTCCATGCATTTCTCCGTAAACAAACTTACACCAGCTTACTCACGCCGCAAAATTCAGCCTCAGAAAACATATGGAATGCCAGATGATATTTTAAAATTTTATCAATATATCGTTTGGTGTATATCGCCATGTTTCAGGCCAAGGATTACCGCCATTGCGCCGAGGTGTGTCAACAACTGATGGACCGGCGCCATGCTGTAGGATGGGAGGCTTGCGCCAGACTGGGGCAATGTGCTGACTATGAAGACATCAGCACGAGGCAAACGTTGACAGCCTTCGCTCTGATACACTGCCCAGATGAAAACCTGCGGGAGCTGATTGAGACTAGGTGAGTGTACATTTAGGTTAAAACATTGTATATAACACTTGCTAATCATAGACTGTTAAAGCAAGACTGAGTCTGATATAGCCACCATCTTGTGCAGATTTGCCGATTGTAACCTAACCTCAGCTTTTACTACTTATGGTTTTCTTTCAGGAATTTGTGTTTTTTATTTGACTACTATGCAGTTTTCTGTTTGGCTCTACCACTGTGGTTTTCCAGCTTTGGCTGGGGTTGTGTACTTATCTAATCATGTTTTAGGTACTTAGGTATGGGCTCGTGAACATCTCGGTAAGGAGATCAGCGACAAATAATATTTATCAACCAACACTGACAGTCAGGCAATTTCGAAGGCTCTTAACTCAAAAGAATTCAACTATAAGCTTGTGTGGGAGTTGTCTTGCCCCGGTGTCAAAATTGGGAAGAGGGAACGATTTTACGCTTTTTGGGGGCCTGGATTTGCAGGCTTAGAAGGTAACGAGGCTGTCTCACTTAAGACGGGTGCATTTGAAACCACTGTAACATATTATGTATAGGATATGGGCTGAAGTAGTATCCCAAGTAAGCTCACTCTTCCTCACACACCTTACAATGGGTGGCCACGCAAATGTCGTGGCTGGATAGGCAAAGAATCAGACAAACAATAGGATTGACTGGTCACAGGTGGTTGAGAAAGAATCTGCAATGAATGGGTTTGTATGATTGTGCTCGACTATGCAGGGGATGTGGCAGGTCATAGGCAAATGCTGATTATCTGTGAGGAGCTGTCTGAGGTAAAAAGCACAACTGTAGACAATCTGGTGAAACTGATTGGTAGACAAAATAAAATAGGTTTACGTATCTTACGTTTTCAATCCTAGTATAGTCTCAGGTAAAAGGATTGATGACGTAAGGTACGTAAATATTTTATTTTGTTTAAATCAATCCTGGAGGCAATGCTGAATATGATTGGTTCACTTCAGGCATTTATCAGGTGCTTGTACATTGAAGGTTACTGAATGTTGATTGGGATGCACAATAATTTGACATATGAAACACTTTGATGCTTCAGGTCCGTCCCTTCAAAATGACATAGGTACTTTCACACCTTAGAAGAGAATCACGTTCCTCATCCCAGATACCTACCAAAATGTCAAGAAAATTGTGATGGGAAATAACCATAGTAATTTCATATTGAAGTATGTTTCGATCCCATGAACTAAATTGTATTTAAGTTTGTATATTTTTTGTTTTAGGTGCGAACTAGAACATAAACGACTACAGATTTTTATTCACAATCAAACCTCAAAAACAGAAACTCCTGAAGAAGAAGAAGAAGAATACACTGATGCAGCTAGCTCAGTAAGCTGACAGTATTTTTTACAATTGAAGGCATTTAAACCAAGGCTTAATTTGTTTATGATTACTTAGCTATATAAGCCGATATTTTAAAAATGTATGTTAATTTTAGTAAAATTATAAAAAAATTTCTTGAAACTGTTACAAAACCAGCTATTTTAACATATAACTTTAAATATATTCATCAATTACAGTAGACTCCCTCTTATCCGGACATCGGTTTAACCGGACTACACTCGGCGGAAATTACATCTCTTTAACCAAACAATTTTTATCAGCACATCATTTTAACCGGACTAGATCAACAGGAAGTGGGAGGTATTGAAACGACTGTTCTTGTGGGAAAGATTTGAGACCAATGCTCTCTTAAATTTAAGTCAAATATTTGGGTTACATAACAAGTTTTTGGGGGCGTCGGTTTAACCGGAAAAACTGAAATTCGGACTGGCCTCGGTCCCGACGAGTCCGGATAAGAGGGAGTCTACTGTAATAGCATTGTAACTTGTAACATAAACATTTTAGTGACAGTTTGCAAGAAGAATCTTCCTGTAAACAACAGATAGGTATTTTATAGATTAAAAATTTAGTAAAACAATGTTGTAACCCCACCTCAATTAGTAAATGCAATGGTAATAATTAAACTCCTATCTAATAACTCCAACAAGTTCAATTCATAAAAATAATCTAGAACATTAAATGACCAAAATTTAGCAATCAGTATTAGTCTATTACAGGATGTCTTTCCTTGAAATTTGATTAATATTTTTCAGCCTCAAGTTCAGTCCAAGGAGTTTCTTCCTCTGGGGCTGTCATCCACCCTTCAAACAACATCCAAACTTCTCAGTCAGTTCACTAATACTGGCTTTTGGAGGGATAAACTTTTGAATAGGTAAGAATTATGCTTATCATAAAGATATAAAGCTACAGTTTTTTAAATCTGTTTTAACATTAATTTGGGCTAATCTGAGTGGAGTTTTCCAAGGAACAAAAATAATATTGCTTGCCTCACTATCAAAAGGTCGTCGGTTTATTTCAGAATACAGACACTAGCTTTTTAATGGCTTGAAACTGTCGCCAGCTATTCTTGATCGTTTGGCTTTTAATAAATTGTTTTGGCTAAAGAACCTGATGAATCTTAGTCAGTAACAAAGCTACAAAGATCATCTCCCTCCACCCTACACTCATTGACATTTCATAAATATATTTTTCAATTATTGTAGGCCTTGGTATTTCTGCTTGAGAAGAATATGATGTTTCAACTCACGACCAATGAAAACAATCCAGCAGTATGTCAGAGCATAAATTATTTTCCTTTCAAACAAACTTCATAAATTTATTAATGTTCTCGACCTATATTTTCAGAGGAGATGGATCAGCGAGGGAGGCAGACAATCGGACACGTGGAGACATGTCAAAGCAGGGGTTCCCAGATCTGTACGCCAGCCTGCACGCAGACTGCCACGAGAGCTCTCTGTACACAGAACCTGACGCAGAGGAGTGGCGAGAGCTGCGGCTGGTACAGACCGTGCTGCGTGCGTCACTCTTGGAACAGGAGAAACTGCCAAAACATCTCCTGCGAGATATGGATGACGGTTAGTGTGACTGAGTGATTATAGTGCTCGCCTGACAATTGAAAGGTTGCCAATCCAATTCTGTGAAAAGCCAGTAGTAAAATGGTTTGAAACTTACATCAACCGACCTCAATCACTGGGCTTTTAATCGCCCTGACTAAAAACCAGCTAAGATGTATCAAGTTACATGAGGCTCACACAATTTGGATTTGATTCAAATTTATACACCCTAGTTGAATCCCCAATCTTAAATGGTAATAACATGGTATTAATATGTCTGTGAACGATTTTCTTTTCCCTACTCCTAAAATATTTTGTTGCTGTAGGAATTATGTACACACAACAAAATTCTCAAGTGCCCATGCACTTGTTGTCCAAAGCAAGCGCTGAAAATACGTTACTTGAAAGTAACCAGCTTTCTTTGTGAACGCACCCTTATTGTAAGCTACAACATCTTTTGTGTCATACAACTATCACAGTAACAAAAATAAGGACAAAAAAAGAATTGTAGGGACTAGCCCAATCTGTGACTAGCTCACAGAAACAAGGTTAATTTTGATAAAAAATTGCCACCAGCTGATTTATATACTGTAGATGGAATGTACACTTTAGTTTCCAAAAGTCAATGGTAATATTTTCTGGAAGGAAATGGTCAATTCTTTCTGTCTTCTCGTCTTCTGTCTTCTGTCAAATTGTTACTCCAATCAAGGCCCCGCTAGAAAAACAGGCCATGCTGCAGTGCGGGCAGCGCAACACTAAGTCACAGTGGTGGATAGTTGTACTAAACTCTTACCATTAAAATCTTACAAACAGCCAGCTTGATTATTTAATTAAACCATATGTGAATGGTGATGGCAATGAATTTATCAATGAAATCTATCTACTAGTGTGACGTCATGGATCCTGCAGCATGGCCTGTTTTTTCTAGTGGGGCCTTGCTCCCTCCAATGGGCAACAGTGTTCACAATTGATCCCTCTTAGGATTGGACTGTTAACCTTACTTCTAAGTATGATTTTAATTTATTTTTTTAAGGCTTGCATAGAATTTCAAATAGAAAATAATTTTTTAATCACTATTATAAAATTTATTAAACAAATCAGTTATGGAAATGTGCCTTGTCCGAGTTACAAAAATATGATAGTGAAATAGTCTAAACTTTAGTCAAGACTTTAGTGTGTCCCACTTCAACACCGTAATGAGAGTGAATGTTTTAGATTATTGTAATATTCACAGGCATTACATACTCATACTACACTCTCTATGCACTCTCTATACACTATACACACTCTTTAGGTTTAGATTGATTTACCCTAAAGTGTTTAAGCTTTCCTCTTATCAAAATGCTTCTGGCATTATATTAAAACAAAAAAAGAAGGGTCATACAATGAGGTGAATATTTCCGTTTGCAGTGTTGACTCAGTTGGCAGCCCTTGTTATGCCGGAGGATTCGTGTGTTGGGTTGGCTACACTGCTTGCGGTTGGCAAGCCAGAAGCTTGTGACCAATGTTTCTCCCGTCTTCCCCACACTCTACTCACTCTACAACTCGCTGTGTATCTGTACGCTCTCAGAGAGGCGGCCCCTCACCACTCTGATGTGTTTCTATGGACGCCTGATCAAGTAAGACAGAGATATAAAGCAAAACGTAATAAGTTACATTTAAGACTAGTAAAAAACTTTACTTTCACTGTATTAGAAACCAGCACAGCTGTAGAAATGGATGACATTGCCAGGGTTTCATGTAGTTAAAATTGTATAGAACAATAATTCTATTTCCTTAAAATACCCCCGCCGCAGCAAACCTGCCGACTAATCAAATTTTAATTTGTCTAATTTATTTTTAATTAAATCTATTTAAATAGCTCTAGAGGTCGTCCAGTGGTCAAAAACTGAACCAAAAATATGTAATGTACAGACTTCTCTATTTGCACCCCACATTGTAAATAAAACATTTTATTGGAATTTCTTTAATTTATTTTGATTTTCTGTTTGAATAATATTTAGTTGTTATTTTGTCACCAGCATGGCAACCCATAAGGCCCATGTTAATTACGCTTATTAAATATTTTTTACTGGCTTATTAGAACCTATCCAAACTTTGAACTACAAAGTCCAAAAATATAACAAAGATAATTATTGACATGTTTCAAGACCTCACATTATATGTGCAAAATTAGTATACCTGAGTTCAATACTAGACAGTAGGAATATAGTTTGAAGAATATAGGTTTAGTAAATTTAGCTGAATTGTAGCTTCCGTAGTTGCTGCAACTCATCTAAACAGTCGGCCAGTTCAACTGATCATCTCCCAAAAACAACATTCAGAGTAGTTTGACCTCTGGAAACCTACCTAGTTTATAATTTGAGATACATATTTCTACAGGTGCTTGCCTGGGCCTCATCTCACACGGATAGTTTGTCTGAGACATCACAGCTGTTAACTAAAGCTCTCACTCAACTGAACAACTTTGAGCACAGCAAGCACGTAGAACAGCTCAACTGTGGGGTGGATATCCGCCGGTTCGCTTGGGACCCTCAGTACAAGACTGACTCTATACTGGGTCTAGCCATGTAAGTATCATAATGTAATTATTATTCTTTTATTCTTACTTTTACCATTTACTTTTGGATTCTGACGTAGACATCCTACCTATATGGACCAGTTGTAAATATTTTTAATTTAAAAAGAACATATTATTATCATTATCTATTTATTAATGGTGTTCTGTCTTTTCTCTTTATGACTGATGTGTTGTAAGAAAACTCTGAGTGGATCACAGTGTTGTCGTAGTTGTAGGAGAAAATGGCTAGTTTCAGTAAAAAAAATTAGGGGTGTGTCGAAACTCCATACCATCGATAGTTGAACATTGGTATCGGTATCAAGAATTGATTGTCAAAAGTCGATTTCGATACCTGACACATCTGTGAAGCTCGCAAGATCAGAAAATTATCCCTATAGCCACGATCACGCAAGACAACAATGACGTTTCCATGACCGCGGGAGTCAATGATAATCAACATGAATGTGACAGATGTTCATGATTTTGATATGATCGTGGGAGACGATGATGATGTCTACACAATTGCAGGAGAAGACACTGATGTCTACATGTCCGTGGGAAATGGTCAGAATTTTGCCTCAATCGCGGGACGATGATATTGTCTTATTGACCGCAGAGACGATAATGATGTCTACAGGCCCTCAAAGACAATTTGATAGAATTTTGCCGCAATCGCGGAAGACGATGATAATATCCACAGGACCACAGGAGACAATGATGATGTCTAAACTGCCGCGAAGAAGACAAAGATGTCTACACGACCGCAGGAGATTAGAATCTTGCAGCGATCGCGGAAGACGATGATGTCGATAATGTCAGGCGTGGCTCACCGTTTAGAGGCTTGGGATATTGTGTTTTTACCAATACATTCAATGTAATCAGTCTGAGTGGTTGTGAAGGTGTGAGGAGTGGGACAAGCTACAAGTGGCTCTAGACCTGGGTGCGGCTCATGGTGTAGAGGCTTGGGAGGTTGTGTTTTTACCAATACATTCAATGTAATCAGTCTGAGTGGTTGTGAAGGTGTGAGGAGTGGGACAAGCTACAAGTGGCTCTAGACCTGGGTGCGGCTCATGGTGTAGAGGCTTGGGAGGTTGTGTTTTTACCAATACATTCAATGTAATCAGTCTGAGTGGTTGTGAAGGTGTGAGGAGTGGGACAAGCTACAAGTGGCTCTAGACCTGGGTGCGGCTCATGGTGTAGAGGCTTGGGAGGTTGTGTTTTTACCAATACATTCAATGTAATCAGTCTGAGTGGTTGTGAAGGTGTGAGGAGTGGGACAAGCTACAAGTGGCTCTAGACCTGGGTGCGGCTCATGGTGTAGAGGCTTGGGATATTGTGTTTTTACCAATACATTCAATGTAATCAGTCTGAGTGGTTGTGAAGGTGTGAGGAGTGGGACAAGCTACAAGTGGCTCTAGACCTGGGTGCGGCTCATGGTGTAGAGGCTTGGGAGGTTGTGTTTTTACCAATACATTCAATGTAATCAGTCTGAGTGGTTGTGAAGGTGTGAGGAGTGGGACAAGCTACAAGTGGCTCTAGACCTGGGTGCGGCTCATGGTGTAGAGGCTTGGGATATTGTGTTTTTACCAATACATTCAATGTAATCAGTCTGAGTGGTTGTGAAGGTGTGAGGAGTGGGACAAGCTACAAGTGGCTCTAGACCTGGGTGCGGCTCATGGTGTAGAGGCTTGGGATATTGTGTTTTTACCAATACATTCTAAGTAATCAGTCTGAGTGGTTGTGAAGGTGTGAGGAGTGGGACAAGCTACAAGTGGCTCTAGACCTGGGTGCGGCTCATGGTGTAGAGGCTTGGGAGGTTGTGTTTTTACCAATACATTCAATGTAATCAGTCTGAGTGGTTGTGAAGGTGTGAGGAGTGGGACAAGCTACAAGTGGCTCTAGACCTGGGTGCGGCTCATGGTGTAGAGGCTTGGGATATTGTGTTTTTACCAATACATTCAATGTAATCAGTCTGAGTGGTTGTGAAGGTGTGAGGAGTGGGACAAGCTACAAGTGGCTCTAGACCTGGGTGCGGCTCATGGTGTAGAGGCTTGGGAGGTTGTGTTTTTACCAATACATTCAATGTAATCAGTCTGAGTGGTTGTGAAGGTGTGAGGAGTGGGACAAGCTACAAGTGGCTCTAGACCTGGGTGCGGCTCATGGTGTAGAGGCTTGGGAGGTTGTGTTTTTACCAATACATTCAATGTAATCAGTCTGAGTGGTTGTGAAGGTGTGAGGAGTGGGACAAGCTACAAGTGGCTCTAGACCTGGGTGCGGCTCATGGTGTAGAGGCTTGGGAGGTTGTGTTTTTACCAATACATTCAATGTAATCAGTCTGAGTGGTTGTGAAGGTGTGAGGAGTGGGACAAGCTACAAGTGGCTCTAGACCTGGGTGCGGCTCATGGTGTAGAGGCTTGGGAGGTTGTGTTTTTACCAATACATTCAATGTAATCAGTCTGAGTGGTTGTGAAGGTGTGAGGAGTGGGACAAGCTACAAGTGGCTCTAGACCTGGGTGCGGCTCATGGTGTAGAGGCTTGGGATATTGTGTTTTTACCAATACATTCTAAGTAATCAGTCTGAGTGGTTGTGAAGGTGTGAGGAGTGGGACAAGCTACAAGTGGCTCTAGACCTGGGTGCGGCTCATGGTGTAGAGGCTTGGGAGGTTGTGTTGAACCACTTCCGAGCTCTGCTGACCTCCAACAGCCCGACTCTGACAGAGCGACTCTCCGACAACAGACTGACCTCGCTACTGAGGGAGCACTCGGACACTGTCGTCAACAGGTGAGGGAGAATCTAAAATTATCTGTGATAGTCTATTTAAATTTCTCTTGTTTGATGGAGCTTAGTTTGATATACCAAACACAGTAGCTCAACAGAATGGTCATGGGTTGGTTGATAAGCATGCATTAACTACTGGACAGATTGGTCTGAAATTTGGCATGAAGATAGCTCACATTCTCGATTAATAAATAACTGCCTGAAAAATAACTGCCAATCTTTGAAGACTCTGGCAAATGATTTTAATCATCATTTTTTGAACTTAAGTAATTCAGCAGCAGTAGCTCCGAATAAGAACAAAACATTGATGTTCATGGTTAGTAACTTAGCAAAGATTGATGAGCCTTTTAAGTTTAAAAAAATTAAAATATCTGATTTGAGAAAAATTGTTTATTCATTGAAAAATACTAAATCTGCAGGATGGGATGAAATCCCCCTATTTGTAATAAAATATGTGATTGATTTGATTCAAGAATCCTCGTGCAAAATAATAAACCAGTCCCTAGAATGTGGAGTTTTCCCTGAAAAACTCAAATTTTCTGTAATCAAGCCTCTTTATAAAGGAAATTGTGTTAATGATTTGAAGAATTATCGTCCAGTAGCTTTGCTTCCGTGCTTTTCTAAGATATTTGAGAAGGCAGTTGAACTACAATTAAAAAATTATATGGAAAACAATAATATATTTAATATATCACAATTTGGTTTTATAAAAGGACTTAATACCCAAACACCAATAACATAAATGGTTAATCATATAGCTGCGGCGCTGGATGGGTCGCAGAAGGCTGCGGGTGTGCTGTGCGACCTATCCAGCGCTTTTGACTGTGTTAACCACGACATTTTAATTGAAAAGCTAGGCAAAATTGGAGTTATAGGAAAAGAGCAACTGTGGTTTTCTTCCTATTTAACTAATAGATACCAGAGAACTAAAATCAGCAAAAATGGTCAACAAGTAAATTCATCTTGGGATAAAGTGCAATGTGGTGTGCCACAGGGGTCAATATTGGGTCCCTCTTTGTTTTTAATCTATGTAAATGATCTGCCAAATATAACAAAGATGAAACTTTTTCAATATGCAGATGACACAATGCTTTTGTGTAGAGGACCCACTATTGACGTCCTGCAGACTAGCATAGACAAAGAGTTCTCTGCCCTGGGTAACTGGTTCCGGGCAAATGGTCTGGCCCTAAATGTGGAAAAAACCCAAATTATAAACTTTTCAGCTAACTACAGGGAAGATGATTCAAATCACATTATCCTTTCAAATCATCAATTATCTCCACAACAAAATGTAAAATTCCTTGGATTAATTTTGAATAAAAATCTTAACTGGGCATCTCAAATTGAAAATTTAAGTAAAAAATTAGACCCTTGCATTTTCTCAATAAGAATAATCTCACAAGTAACGAATCTAGAAACCCAGCTAATAATATATCATGCATATTTCTCATCATTAATGACATATGGTATCTTGATCTGGGGTAACTCTCCTCATTCAAAAAAAAATTTTAAATTACAAAAAAAGTAATACGAATTATTGGCAAAGTTCCCTCTAGAACCCCTAGTAAAAAACTGTTTCAAAACTTTAAAGTTCTTACTTTTTACGATCACTATATTTAGGAAAAGCATGCTGGGTCCATAGAAACCTCTCTACTTTTATGGAGACCCTAACTCAACATAATTACAATACAAGAAAAAAGAATATTATCAAACCTGTAGCTCATAATTTACAAATATTCGAGTCATCACCACAATACATTGGTCCAAAAATCTTAAATAACTTACCAACAAGTTTAATTACTCTAGAAAATCCCTATAAGTTTAGACTTTATTTAAAAGAATGGCTCAAGACTAAATCTTTTTTTTCATTGGCAGATTATTTTAAGGACTGCTGGAATTAGGTATAAGTAAACCTTCACACTCCTGCTGGCTCAATTTTTTTTATCATGTAACAATGTTGTATTTTGGGAAGATTCAGTTGTTTTATGTAAATACAGATGTATTAGTTTTATCTATTAGTTTTAAGTCTTTATTTAACCATTGACAATATGTCCTGTTATTATAATGTAATGACATGTAACTCAATAAATAAATAAATTAATTAACATATAGGCCTATTCATATCTCAAAAATCCTTTCTGGCTCCGCCCCAGTGACTTTGTAGTTCCCCATGTTAACCTTAGGTATATAGGTTAACTATGAATGATAGTTTTGAGACTGGGTGAAAGGTGGTAATTCAGGGTAATTTGGGAGCAATCTAGGTCAGTCTGTGTTACCATACAGATGATACAAATAATCTATGTTTGTTGATATTAAAAATGTATATACTAAGTTTTCTACAGGTTTCAGGAAGTAGTGCTGCCTACTCTCAGTGGAGTCAACTACAGCCAGCTGATCAGTTACTACACTGTACTACAAACTGTGGCTCCTGACTCTAGTGTACATGGCATGGTACCCAGGGATCACATCAAACTAATCAAGAAAGTCAAGGCCACGTCTACAGGTCGGTGCGGTATATGAAAATGTTATAGTTCTTGTTTTGATTGTGACGCAAAATTCTAGGGGGGGAATAAACTAGTATTCACCTAAGTCAGGCTAGGCCTACCCCTAGAACCGGCCACACTCAAATTTCTTCCCCGGAGCGCTCAGAAGGAGCCGAGAAAAAATCCAGGGGTCGATACGAAGTTGTCACGGCTTTGACTGATCAATTTAGTTAAATTTAATCGAAGGCTCAGAGCTCTAGAAGCGCTCAGGAAATCCTGCAGACGCTCAGTAGGAGCTATTTCATCCTCACCTTCGCTAACGTGTTTTGGAGAATTTTGCCTAACTTTTAGAATGACTCTGTAGGGCCGACGAGTATTCAATCTTAAGCCAATGTGATATAAATACTCGTATTAAACTGTAAACTATCTGGCTAAAGACGGTGGTGGATAATAAAATCGAATCTAATGTAAAAAGCAATTCCTACAGAGTCGTCGGGGCCTAATTAATATAATTGGACGGATAATTTAACGTGAGTGGTTTAAAATAAATTTAATACTAATTTTTGTAGCTGATTATTCAACTCAGCCTGCTCCCAAGACTCGATTCTTTCACCCGCCAAAGACGGGGTTTAGAACTCAGACGACGAGTCTCGGGGTATTAAAACGGCGAACTAATTAGAATAAACGTACGTAATAATTCTTTAAGCGAACGGAACAAATGTAATTTCGTAGCCAATTGATTTAAACGAGCCGAAAGGTATCCACCGCTAGTCACTGGCAGGCAGGAACTGGCGGGTTGTATGCAAGTCGGCGAAAACTAATTTAGATAAGTCGAATCGGGAATTTAAGAAAACGAAAAGGATAATAAGTTAAGTACAGTATGCGTAAGATAAAACAGAAATAACGTAAAACGTAAAAAAAGGGCCTAACTAGTGTGTTAGCTAACCTTCGTAATAGGATCGTAGGGTCGTATTCGTAATTTGTGCGAGCTGGTCGGCGGTCAAACAGCGATTAATCTTGTCCGGCTCAAATCATGATTTCCTCGGTCGAGGCTTAATCGCTCTGGTGGTGAGTTCGAGAACTAGCCAACAGCTGATCGGAAATTCACCTGTTGAGCCGGTCTAGTTGTCGTCTGTCGTTGGTCAACAAACACCATTTCGAGGTTAAGTGATGTTGTCATCGGCGTTAAATATTCGTAAAATCGGTCGTTTTAACTTTATTATGTGAAACGGAGTGCTATTATGAATAAATATGTAGTTGTGGATGTGTTTGTGTACTTCACTGTTAATAAAAATAGGCCTACGTTCTTTGGCCCATAGCCCAAGCTATGGCCAACACATAGGCCTAGGAGTAGGCTATTGTGGTTAAAAATCGGGTAAGTTCTGATGTTTATTTATTCGTAGTACGTTTTTACCCCCCTTAAAATTTGGCACCTTACATGATGTGTAATTATTGCTTGCTGTACAGATCAGTTTCAGGGATCAAGAATCCTATTGATGTGTAATTATTGCTTATTATACAGAAAAATTTCAGGGATCAAGAATCCTAATTTCCCTGTTACCCAAGCAAAATGGTACCTAGACAATAATGGTAGGAAGGAACCAATTAAAATCTCAAATTAAATACCTATTAGTTTCCATTAATCTTTAGTCACTCAGTCATGAAAATTTATTTGGGGTGGGTTTATCCAAATTTAAATCAACTCCCACACCACCACCAGTATTTCCAGTAATTCAGTATTTCTTCCATTCCCCTAATTCCCAGGTCTGGGTGTTGATTAGTATTTTCCATCTTATCCCATCATCAACAGTTTCTCCTCCTCCATTATCACCCTCTTTTCTCCAAATTCCTCTTTGCCTTGGTATCCACCTCTAGGTCCTTTCTCTTATCCCCTCATCTCTATCAAAATCAGCTTATTCCTTGCAATTCTCTCTTCTCTAATTTGTCTTACACATGTCTAAAAAACATTTAGTGTTAATTTTCTACACCCCATCGTAAGGTGTCCTAAACTACCCGTTTGTTAATCCCTTTCCTAATAGTATTCCACCTTTTTTACTCTTTTTTTAAGTAGCCAGCCTGTGACCATTATCTTTCCTGTAAATTCCATACTTCTGTCCCATAAATAACTATTTAGTAACAATAGGTTAGAAGTTAAGGAAAGGCCAATTGGCTGATTAGTATTATTATTTACAAGGATAGGAATCAGCTAGTAGAATCAAGAATCAGCAATGTGAAAGGGACGAAATATTAAGTTTTGTGTGTTGTGTGTTATGTGTTTTATGTGTGTTACCAAGGCTAATCTGGACTATGTCTACCAGGTAAGCTAGATGATCCCTATCCTTGTATATAATAATCCTATTTAGTTACAATGTGTCTTGTAGCTACTCTTGCCTTCATTGGTTCGGTACCTCCCTATCCCATAGTATGTGCTCCTTACTTTTGGATAGCCATACTACTTTTCCCATTATCCAAATCGTTTATATCTAAAATATCTACTGAATATTTGTTGTAACCTGAACCTCTCTTTAGACATTGACTATGTCCGGCTGGTGACGAGGCCGCAGGATGTGATGGAAGTGTTACGACCGTGTGTGAGACAGGAGACCATCAACATTCTGGCCAAGCTGCTGAAGGAGCTACTGAAGGCTCTCCCCTCACTGCAGCAGCACACCTCTGTAGGTCAGCTGTATCTGGAGTGTGCCGTCACTGCGTACAAAGCTCAGGTTAGATATGTCTACACAGCTCTCGGTTATTTCTCATCCCCCTCAAAGAGTCTCTGATATTTCAGTTGAGTACCCTGGGTATCCCAGATCTTCAAAATCTCCCTGATATATCAGTTTGTCCTGGATGTCCATGAAAACCTAAAGATTTTGAATGTGTCCTCAATTATTATAACTTAAATCATTGTTGTCAACGTTTTAATTGTTTGCGAACAAAATATTATTTTGTCTGAACCACGACACAATTTCTGTACTGATTTGTGTCAAGTGTTTATGTTCAGAGTTTAAGTGTGATAAGTGGTTTGGAGCTATGCTGTTTTAGTCTTTTTATAATCAACAAACCACAAGTAAATATCCTTTGAGGCTACTGTTCCCAATGAACATATACATAAAGAATATTGTCTTTCTGGTAAATCAATTTCAGTCCATGCAAGTGTTTGTGGTCACTTTACATGACCCCAGGGTGAAAAAGGATCATTTTCTAATTACTTGGTGTTAAATTTAGCTTGAAAATGAACCTTAAGTTATGAAACCTTGGTTGCCTGACGAAAACTGGATCATTCAACAGTACGGTCTCCAACCTCCTTAATTGACGCTATCCAGAGACTGAAATGTTTCAGTTGATCTGCCGTTTGGTTTCAGTGTCTAAGTACGACGTGTAGAAATCCTCTGGACCAGTTCTCCACATTGCTGCCGTACCTTCAGAAGCTGAGTGGGACAGAGTTGCTCAACTTTATTCGCAGAACAGTCTTCTGCCACCAGAGTGTGCTGAGGCTAGATCCTCTGACCAGACAGGACATGATAGACGCAGCTCTCAGATGTGGTCAGACACACGGCCTGTGAGTTGGTATAGAAAGAACTTTACCGTGTAAACCACAGTGGAACCTCAATAATATGTGACGCAAAATTCTAGGGGGGGAATAAACTAGTATTCACCTAAGTCAGGCTAGGCCTACCCCTAGAACCAGCCACACTCAAATTTCTTCCCCGGAGTGCTCAGAAGGAGCCGAGAAAAATCCAGGGGTCGATACGAAGTTGTCACGGCTTTGACTGATCAATTTATTTAAATTTAATCGAAGGCTCAGAGCTCTAGAAGCGCTCAGGAAATCCTGCAGACGTTGGAGCTATATCATCCCAGCCTTCGTAAAAGTGTTTTGGAGAATTTTGCCTAACTTTTAGAATGACTCTGTAGGGCCAACGAGTATTCAATCTTAGCCAATGTGATGTAAATACTCGTATTAAAATGCGACTAACTAGTTTAAGACGTTGGTAATCGATCTAATATCGAATGTAAGGTAAAACAATCCCTACAGAGTCGTCGGGGCCTAATTAATATAACTGAACGGATAATTTATCGTGATAGGTTTAAAATAAATTTAATATCGATTTTCGTAGCTGATTATTCAACTAGCCTGCTCTCAAGACTTGATTCTTTCACCCGCCAAAGACGGGGTTGAGAACTCAGACGTCAAGTCTCGGGGTATTAAAACATCGAATTAACTCAAATAATCCAAGTAACAATTACTCGTTAAGCGAACGGAGAAATCGTAATTTCGAAACTAATTAATTAAAATAAAATAAACGATAGCCACCGCTAGTCACTGGCAGGCAGGAACTGGCGGGTCAAGACTCGAGCTAAGATATTAAATTTAGATAATTCTAAACGGAATTTTAAGAAAACGAAAAGGTATAATAAGTTAAGAACGCGTAAGATAAAACAGAAATAACGTAAAACGTAAAAAGGGGCCTACCGTAACTAGTATGGTAGCTAACCTTCGTAATATTATCGTAGTGTCGTTGTCGTATTCGTAACTTGTGCGAGCTAGTCGGTGGTCAAACAGCGAATAATCTTGTCCGGCTCAAAACTCAAATCATGATTTCCTCGGGCGAGACTTAATCGCTCTGGTGGTGAGTTTAAGAACTAGCCAACAGCTGATCAGAAATTCACCTGTTGAGCCGGTCTAGTTGTCGTCTGTCGTTGGTCAACAAACACCAGCTTAAGGTTATGTCGTCGTCGTCGTCGGTGATAAATACTTGTAAAATCGGTCGGTTTAACTTTGTTTGGTGAAAAGGAGTGCTATTATGAATAAATATGTAGTTGTGGGTGTGTTTGTGTACTTCACTGTTATTAAAAGTAGGCCTACGTTCTTTGGCCCATAGCCCAAGCTATGGCCAACACATAGGCCTAGGAGTAGGATGTTGTGGATAAAATCAGGTAAGTAATGGTGTTTGTTGACTAGCAATACGTTTTTACCCCCCTTAAAATTTGGTACCTCACAAATAAGAAGACCCTGATAACAAGTCTTATTTGATTATTCCTATGAGAGCTTTGTTATCGAGGTTCTGCAATACTATTCATATTTTTTATGTATCACTGTTATGATAGCATGCATACCTGAATGGGACAGAATTTACGCTGACCCAAGAAGAAACACACATTTTTTCACTTTACGCAATGATTAGAATACAGTTTTTCCTTAATAATCCGACCTTTTGTAATCTGTTGTACTTGGTAGTCCGATGCACTAATGGCATAAATCGTCAAAAACAAAACAAGTCTGCAGCAAGATAACCCCCCTCACCAATAATATACTGTATCGTCACTGTTGAGTTCAATTTTAATAAATTACAAGACAGGTGCTGTTCGCTACTCTTTGTTTCCGGTAACCCTTAGGCATTCTTGGACAGAACGGCATCGTCCCACTTCTAATGCACTCATAGACAGAACTTCTGGGTTTTTGAATCTTGATAATGTCTTGTATAGTAATGAAGCTAAGTAAGTATTGTCTATGAAATAGAGAAATATTCTTCTCAGAAGGTCATTTCATAAAAATATTTATGTCCACTATTAATGAAGGTACATCGATGTATGCCTAAAAGCTATTTATGTTTAATAACCATTCTTATGAAATTGTAGATCTTGATCTGAATATAAAAAAGTAACAAAAATAACCACGTTGAATATTTTACAGGAACGTTGATCCTGATTACAAAATGATACATGCCCTCAAAGACTACATACAGCAGGTCTGGGATATGGAAAAGCCATCCTGTAAAACTTTGAAGAACTATCTTGTGTAAGTATAATAAGTATAAGTAAGTGTAAGTATATTGGGGTTACTCAAGGGTACATTTCTAAATAGATATTTAGATCACATTCTAAACTGTCCCAACTAATATATCCCCACTACAAACTACAAAATAAAGTTTATAGGAAAGTAAGAAGTGCACTCGATCAGTGAAATCTACCTTTTACCATGTGGTTTTCAGATATTTTCCCCTTTAAATAAAAAGCTCTCATGGTAATCTTTGGTACAACTGATATTTGCAATTAGCCTAAATAATAAAAATGTGTTTTTCAAATCCAAATTTTACAAAAGTATTTCAAATTGCTTTTTAAACCTTCCCCCATGATACTCAACTAAGTATTTTGAATCCCCATTCTCTTATTTTACCTCTAAAGCTATGCAGTACTTTATTTAACAAGCCAATTTAATTTCTTGAGGACCTTTGAAAGAAGTAAACGTGTGATCATATTTGACACACCGAAGTTTTAAGATTTATCTTACAATGTTTCTAAACTAACCTTTTCATGTAAATATTGTAATGTTTGCCGCAGCCGGCTAGATGAAGCTTGTGGAGACACCGAGGCTGTGGGAACCGTGATACAGACCGCTCTGGTAGATGCTTCATTGCCATCGTCGGTGCTGCAGGAAATGGCTAGACTAACGAACAAACGAACACTCAGCAGCTACGTTACTGATCTTCTAAACTCACTACCGACCAACCCTGCGTGAGTACAGTCAGAACGCTAACAATAGCTCAGTGATACATATTGGGCTGATTTGCCACACATTGGTAGTTCAAGACCAGCTGGGTCTACACCTTACCACTTACCACTGGCTCTCTCAGTCTCGCTCCTTTGACATATACGGTGATGGTACTTCACTGTCTTAAGATTGCTTCACAGTTCAGTAGTCTGTGGTGACAGGCAGTTGAGCTTTTTACAAAAACGGATAACAATTAAGATACATCCATTTGATGATTTGAATCTGGACCAATCTGCCCTTTTGATAAATGATTCTAACAGAAACAACTATAATCTTTGACAGTAGCAAAAGTCACTAACAAGACTACAAGGATTTTGAATTGTAGAAAATGGTGGATAGCAGCTAGCTTCTTTTACAAGCGAATGCCAAAGCCATATCGGTAGCTAATTTTTGGAAAAGCGAAGTCTGATTTCCGGACACGGAAAGTAAGTAAGCAGCTAGCTTACCTTGAAAGTGTAGTTAGGCCATAGAACATGTAGAAAAACACTGTGCACACAATATTTCGTCCCCTGAGGGACTTTTTCAAGTGTAGATAAATAGTTTACTTATAGAAAGAGTCGGTAAACTCTTTCTCTACACTTGAAAAAGTCCCTCAGGGGACGAAATATTGTGTGCACAGTGTTTTTCTACAGGTTCTATGGCCTAACTACACTTTCAAGGTAAACTAGCTGCTATCCTCCTTTTTCTACAATTCAAAATCCTGGCCTTAGAGCCTTTCCTTGAACAAAACTAACAAGACTACAAGTTCACACCAGTCATCTCCATTCATACTTGTATTAAAATACCTACATTCGTATGGTCGCCATTTCATAAGTAAGGAAGTAAAGTAAGTTAAGCTGACAAAGGCAATTCACCCTTTCAATATTAGGATTAAAATTTAAAAAAATGTTGCATTTAAGCTATTTTTAAAACACTGGCCATACAGCAGATTTGGTATTTTTATTTAAACTAGCCGCTATACTCGTGTTTCGCAACAGGAAGAAGTCGTAAAGTTCCCAAAGTGTAAGTTGCTGATAACAGAAAAAGATGGTTCGTATGTAAAAAAAAATTACAGTTTCTCATTTTTAGAAACCCTAAGAGATTTTACCATTTTTAAATTTATACACTAAAATTGTTTCTTTCATGTTTATTTTGAGACAGTTTTGGGTCTTACATTATTTTCCGTTAATCAGTGATGCTACCAATATTCCTGTTGATCTTGTTTCATCAATACAAATCTTTCCTTTACAAGTCAGTTTATTGCATGTGAATGTTTCAGTTTTATAACGACTGTACTTCAGAGGGTTGAAGAGTGCTTAGCAGCCGGAGAGAAGGGAGATTCATGGAGCATTCTGATTGGTCCACTGACCGAGAGACCTGAACTGCCAGCCAGTGTGCGGAAACAGGCATCTCTGCTTACCCAGGTGATTCATTGTCACGTCCTGAATTTACGTTTAACTATTGATAGAAATAGACATCTTTCCCATGTCGAGGCTGTAGCCAGTTTCAGAATAAAAATTCTTGTTGATTCGAGTCATTGACAGAGTTAACTGTAAATTACAACCTTTTTGCCAAAACCATACTGAAAGTGTCCCTTATAATAATAACTATATCATCTTTTATGTCACACCAACTATCACAGCAACAAAACCTAAGAGAGAAAAGCTCCTGCATGGTATACTCGTAAGGTCCAATAAACAAGTATAAATGTAATAATTTATACTACAGAACTATATAACTTCAATAGGATTTAGCCTAAGTTAAAAATAAGCCATTTCTTTTCCGTGTACACCACTGACATTTTATTAATAAAATAAATGAAATCATAACAAATATATACTTTTCATTTAGTTAAATTATACCTCTGTATCTCAGTCCTAAATAATTATTTAATTGAAACAATCTTACTTTATGATGACCTTCCGTAGAGCTATATTTTAATATAGGAACTCGTCTGTAAAAAAAATATACAAATGCATAAATATTACTAATATAACTATTCTAAATATAAATTGCAATTACCATTTTCTTTCGTACAATGTGCTTTTTGCAAGTTAACATACTTATAACCTAATTTAACATATTTTAGAATTTGAGGTTAACCAACAGTGGATATTATTTTCCCATATCCATGTTCAATAGTATTTTTAATACAAATTTTAATTTCAGATTTAACTTTCCTAGATTATAATGGATAATAATATTTTGTACTTACAATGTCTACGAGATTTGCCTGCCATGAGATACAGAATTATGAATGAAATCAAACTTTGTGAGGGAAATGAAAAAAAAACAATGTTACCACTACAAACAATTAAAATAAACCAAATTATGCTTCTTACATACTATAACTAAATTTGCTGGATTTTTTTTACCAAACAATACAAGAATCAGTATAATGGATATGATTTATTACTGTAATAAGGATGGGAACGGAAGTCTCTAGATTCCAAAAAATTATTGGTTAAACCAGCCACTTTTAAAATTTAGGACGGATGAACCAACCTCTATTGTTACTCAGTTGGAGGCAGTTTATCCGAGCATCAAATGATCCATAAGTCTACTGTAATTAGTTAGGCCTATTATGAATGAACACTGTTATAATAAAACCTGCTTCCTCCAGAGGCTGGGAGCAACTTACAGCGAGGAGCTGGAAGCACTGAGGCTCAAGACGGAAGCGTTGCTGCGACGACCTGTCGCTCTGTCTCAAGTCTCGGACCAGAACTCGCGATACCTTCTGTTCAAACAAGCGCTGTCGCAAAGCAACAGCTGGGACGACTTGCATACGCTACACCTGCTGTTACTGTCATGGCCACATGTGTGAGTATCATTGGTCAAAACTAGTGTGGTTAGAATGATTCTTCTCTTTCTAAAATTACTCTGTCCTTTCAGATCTATCTCCTGTTTCATGGGAAATGCATTTAATAACTAAACTAGAATAAAATATAATAATGATTTTTATTTCAGGGACACCAGTTGGTCTTTGGAGTTGGTTGAAGCGATGGCTGATTCGGAATCCCCAATATCTGAAATGTACAACACTCTGAAAAAAATATTCAAGAAGAATGAATTTGAAGAAGAGGTATGTTTCCTTGATTTCCTTTAATTTAAAATATTGAAGGCACAAAAGTTATGTTGTTATAGTATTTTCTAAATTATAATAGCCTTATCATTTCTTAGTTTTAGCATCCCTCCAGTTTTAACACAACAGGTTAGTGATTCTCTTAAAGAAAAGATATTTATACGAACAGCAAACTACTTAGGATAGTAAATCAGTAAAGTTATGTGTTATGTTATGTTATTCTTTTCATATTGTAGCGTGCAATTTGTGTATGTTATAAAATATAAAATTTAGTGTATTTATTGTATTTAGGTAAATCGGTAAAAATTCTTACTTGTCCAGATGCCACTACAAATTATCAAGATAGACATTTTAATCAATACTGCAGAACCTTTATTTAGTGTGTGTTTCAGCAACAATATTTTTTATTTGTTTATTTTACCAAGAGAATGGTCCAAACCCTGGGCTTGTCACTATGTTAAGTCAACCTTTTGTTGTGACGGTTACGTGACAGAGTGAAACTGTTGTGTGTTGCTGTAGGAAGTGACTCACCTGGTGGCCAGGTTGGAGAGAGAGCAAGTTGTAGTGACTGTGTGTAGTGAAACTGTTGTGTGTTGCTGTAGGAAGTGACTCACCTGGTGGCCAGGTTGGAGAGAGCGCAAGTCGTAGTGACTGTGTGTAGTGAAACTGTTGTGTGTTGCTGTAGGAAGTGACTCACCTGGTGGCCAGGTTGGAGAGAGCGCAAGTTGTAGTGACTGTGTGTAGTGAAACTGTTGTGTGTTGCTGTAGGAAGTGACTCACCTGGTGGCCAGGTTGGAGAGAGCGCAAGTCGTAGTGACTGTGTGTAGTGAAACTGTTGTGTGTTGCTGTAGGAAGTGACTCACCTAGTGGCCAGGTTGGAGAGAGCGCAAGTCGTAGTGACTGTGTGTAGTGAAACTGTTGTGTGTTGCTGTAGGAAGTGACTCACCTGGTGGCCAGGTTGGAGAGAGCGCAAGTCGTAGTGACTGTGTGTAGTGAAACTGTTGTGTGTTGCTGTAGGAAGTGACTCACCTGGTGGCCAGGTTGGAGAGAGAGCAAGTTGTAGTGACTGTGTGTAGTGAAACTATTGTGTGTTGCTGTAGGAAGTGACTCACCTGGTGGCCAGGTTGGAGAGAGAGCAAGTTGTAGTGACTGTGTGTAGTGAAACTATTGTGTGTTGCTGTAGGAAGTGACTCACCTGGTGGCCAGGTTGGAGAGAGCGCAAGTCGTTGTGACTGTGTGTAGTGAAACTGTTGTGTGTTGCTGTAGGAAGTGACTCACCTGGTGGCCAGGTTGGAGAGAGCGCAAGGCGTAGTGAGTGTGTGTAGTGAAACTGTTGTGTGTTGCTGTAGGAAGTGACTCACCTGGTGGCCAGGTTGGAGAGAGAGCAAGTTGTAGTGACTGTGTGTAGTGAAACTATTGTGTGTTGCTGTAGGAAGTGACTCACCTGGTGGCCAGGTTGGAGAGAGCGCAAGTTGTAGTGACTGTGTGTAGTGAAACTGTTGTGTGTTGCTGTAGGAAGTGACTCACCTGGTGGTCAGGTTGGAGAGAGCGCAAGTTGTAGTGACTGTGTGTAGTGAAACTGTTTTGTGTTGCTGTAGGAAGTGACTCACCTGGTGGCCAGGTTGGAGAGAGAGCAAGTTGTAGTGACTGTGTGTAGTGAAACTGTTGTGTGTTGCTGTAGGAAGTGACTCACCTGGTGGCCAGGTTGGAGAGAGAGCAAGTTGTAGTGACTGTGTGTAGTGAAACTATTGTGTGTTGCTGTAGGAAGTGACTCACCTGGTGGCCAGGTTGGAGAGAGAGCAAGTTGTAGTGACTGTGTGTAGTGAAACTATTGTGTGTTGCTGTAGGAAGTGACTCACCTGGTGGCCAGGTTGGAGAGAGCGCAAGTCGTTGTGACTGTGTGTAGTGAAACTGTTGTGTGTTGCTGTAGGAAGTGACTCACCTGGTGGCCAGGTTGGAGAGAGCGCAAGGCGTAGTGAGTGTGTGTAGTGAAACTGTTGTGTGTTGCTGTAGGAAGTGACTCACCTGGTGGCCAGGTTGGAGAGAGAGCAAGTTGTAGTGACTGTGTGTAGTGAAACTATTGTGTGTTGCTGTAGGAAGTGACTCACCTGGTGGCCAGGTTGGAGAGAGCGCAAGTTGTAGTGACTGTGTGTAGTGAAACTGTTGTGTGTTGCTGTAGGAAGTGACTCACCTGGTGGTCAGGTTGGAGAGAGCGCAAGTTGTAGTGACTGTGTGTAGTGAAACTGTTTTGTGTTGCTGTAGGAAGTGACTCACCTGGTGGCCAGGTTGGAGAGAGAGCAAGTTGTAGTGACTGTGTGTAGTGAAACTGTTGTGTGTTGCTGTAGGAAGTGACTCACCTGGTGGCCAGGTTGGAGAGAGAGCAAGTTGTAGTGACTGTGTGTAGTGAAACTGTTTTGTGTTGCTGTAGGAAGTGACTCACCTGGTGGCCAGGTTGGAGAGAGCGCAAGTCGTAGTGACTGTGTGTAGTGAAACTGTTGTGTGTTGCTGTAGGAAGTGACTCACCTGGTGGCCAGGTTGGAGAGAGCGCAAGTCGTAGTGACTGTGTGTAGTGAAACTGTTGTGTGTTGCTGTAGGAAGTGACTCACCTGGTGGCCAGGTTGGAGAGAGCGCAAGTTGTAGTGACCGTTTGTCTCCTGACAGAGTTCGCGCGACTCCACGACCACGCTGTGCTGATCCTTAGGAGTGTCACGAATGTAAGTGGTAGTAATTAGTAATGTGAATGCTGAATCTCGTATCCACTGCATCAGGAAAGATTTGAGTTTCAGATCCGACCGGATATTTGAGAATTGATCATCAAATCCTATCTATCTAGGTACATCTGCTTTTTGTTCTTGCTTCCCATGCCATGTGTGTGTTTGGTAAACGAAATACATATGGGGTCTTTATTTTTAATACAAATTTAATTAGTATTAAAATACATTGTCTTTCGTTTCTGTATTTTTTTTGTAAGGTTGTTATTGATAATATTTTTTTTTGTGGTACACTACTCTCAATATAATTGTGAATGTAGTAAATTATCTTGATGTCCCTGTGATCATAAGTGATGACCACAGAGGCTGCGAGGTCATTGTAGATGATTGATTAGTTGCTGCAATTCTGGCGTAAACAGTTGTTTACAAAGTTTTAATAATTCATTTACAAAAATTAAATAATAGTGGGATTTAAATTTTTACTGTATATTATTTAATATCTATTACATAAAAAAAGACGTACTTATATTTGAGCTAAAAATACCTGAATTTTATCATCAATGTTGAATTTACTGCTAGATTCAGTGGTCACTAAATATATGTTTGCAGGACATAGATTTACCAGAAGACCTTGTGAGACGTATTGTAGAGGTAGAAGTTGTTGCGAGACTTCACAACTCACCGATATTCTCCAAACTTATGGAGTCTCTACGAGAGTTGGATACAGAGGTACAACAACATGCAGCAAATCAGCTGAGAACATTGAGACTGACTGCGGAAGCTGGTTCTCTTCTAACTACCTAGCTACTGGGTCATCTCTCTGCCTTATTTGTTATTGTTTTATAAATATTTATCCCTACATAAAGGTTATTTATTGAAAGTTGAATTCTGAAGTTGTTTATTGCTTATTATCACCATCATCAAGCGCCTGTGTCACGATTTAGACCATGCTGTTTGAATACAGTCTAGCTGGAGGTTAAAAAGTTCTCCGTGATAATCTTACGGTCTAAAACCCATTGCAGTCACAAGGCTGGCCACTTTTGTGTGTAAACTACCTACCTCTCTCTTAAAAAAAGGTAGTTGTATTGTAGTTCTCGTTCTCATCTTAGTGCAACAATTAAAAATATATCAGTACAATTCATTGTACTGAACCAACTCAACTATGCTCTGCTACTCTCCATGCACATGTGGACAGGCACATGCAAGGCTTAAAGAAATTGCCAACCTCTTTGATCGAAAATAAACGGTTTCTGCAATCTGACTCATAATATCTTCCTTTAGCTTGTCAACATCCCTTATTCAATGGGAGTAACTATAATATTTGTGGGGAAATTCACAAAAGTTACAACAACTTTTGAATTGTAATTTTTGTCAGCATTGGTGGATGTACAATTTTTTGTAGGGTTGAAAGGACCACAACGTGCTAAATTTATATAAAAATCGCTGAAACCATAAAAATCCATTTTTTTGTTATTTTATAGGTTTTACAGAAAAATTACAATCAAATTAAAAATTTCCAAAATACCTGAAGATACCATTGATTAGTAGCCACACACAAAATTACACCAAAATCAGACTGCAGGTGTTAAAAATACTATAGCTCTGTACACATACACACACACACAAGCATACACACATATAGACACCACTTCGGAAACTTTCACAAAAACAATACTTTCTCCAAAAACTATCTATATGGGGATAAAGTATAAAAGGAAACAAAACACAGAACAAGGTTTATATTTACACTTGACAATGTAATTGTTAAGGGTCAATACAAGTTGTAGTTGTGGTATTGGTTGGACTGCATGTTGGGTATCCTAACTCCGGTGTGAGGTGAGAATGTGCTGGCATCACACGCTGGTGGTCGCGAGATACATTCGTAAGTCCCACACTCAGACCTCGGACAATCGTCCTGCGATGACAAACAGAACAAAACATAGTTGTATGAAATTCACAAACCTTAAGTCTTTTAAAATACTAAAATGTAACTAACATTGAACATATTTTTAAATCACACAAGCTTTGTTCTCAAAAAGAATTTTTGTTTTTAATATTCACCCCTAAAAATAATAAATCAAGACTTGCGTCTAGGTGAGCAGATTTGCAAATGGACTTTAAAAAATTAATATTTGATTCAAGTCGTAACACTCTGTACAAAAAACATACCTGTTTGTAAATTTTTCTTATTTCCAATTTCAAGTTTAGAAGCCAAGATGTATTTGCTTATCCACTAAAAGCAAACCCATCTGTTTTGTTCGGTTTTAACAGACAGGAATAAACTATACCTAGTTTGTCTTCTTAAAACATGAAATGTTACAGATAAGCAGTGATGTAAAGTTTCAAACTGGTTATCTTAGTTTTGTTGTTACGGTAAACCACAATACCTGTAAGCCATTCCTCTTGTAGCAGTCGCACCCGATGTGGAAGAAGCCACCTCGCAGTTCTTGTGATCGATCTCGGGGCTTGAACCAGGGAGGACTTGGCTGCATGTAAGTCATTATTGAATTAGAATTATTGCTTTGTTGAATTTTAAAACTATCATTTGGTAAGAATCGGTTGAGGGGTAGGTCTAGGTTGAGAATAGGTTGGGCTAGGAGAGCTAGGACATCAGTCACTACAAGGTGTCATCTTTCCAGTCAAGAAACAGCACTTTGGTTTGTGGCTATATGATGGTCTGAACCTGGACCCAGCTGTCCCTGATCATTGGGTTTCAAATTATCCTGGCCAAAGAACGAGATGATTAGTCTGTAACCAAGCTGTCATCTGATTCAACACCCATTCTCAATCATTGTTTTAAATACATACAGTACTTAAACTTACTTCCTAATTAAAACATTTTCCTCAGCTAAGAAGTTTCAGATTGCTATAAAAATTTTTTACATCTGGCAAAGTATGCAGTTTATACTCGTTGGACGTTGTCTTTGTACTATTGTAAAAAAAATTATGAAGAATTTTTGTCAAAAAATTCCATCCATCAATCTAACACTGAACACAGAAGTGATCAGAACTGCTTTTTAAATGTTGCCTTGGTACATTGGATACGTAGCTTCGGTTGACATGCTGGGACCCTAAGTTTGCATCTCCTACAATACAGTACCTACCTGGGAAAATTTACATGACCTTCCAGAATTATTTAAAGTTATAATAAATAATTTCAACTTAATAAAAACAACTGAAATACCATCCCATATTAATGCATCCTTCCTCCCTAAATGGTCTTCTGAATTAATACGTCAGGTATTATGTAGGCTATTGATTTTGAAAAAATAATTTAGCATATGTTTTAGTATTTATTTTGATGTTTCATATGTTTATATTATTTGAATAGTAACAGACAAATAAACATTTCATTTGAACGTTGATGCTACTGCACTTGTAGTGATGATTTTGTCACTCACATATCTGTCAAACTCCTCCTCAGGATGGACCTTTGTCGTGTCCGTGACCTCTCGACCATCCATGGTCACCTTAGGCTGCTGTGTCGCCCCTCGCCCTCGTCTGTTGGGGTTGACTCCGGGGGGCACTTGGGACATCCTGGGTGGGAACACCCCCAGGCAGGGGTTGGCTTCTTCTTGCTTAACCCTACGTTTGAATGGGGAGTCCCGACAACACTCATCACAGCATCTGGAAACATTTAGCCAAAGTTGGTAGACAAGTATGTGTTGGCTCAGAAGGATGGACAATTGTAAAATAGTTTATCGAAGTTGATACAAAGCCATATGAAAATCTTCTGAAAAAGTCCACTTACAGTAAACCCTCATACTTTGTATAGTTTAGACCAAAGATGAATGATTTTAAATTCCTTATTGCTGGATTACCTACTCATTACAAACCCCAATGTATAAGGACCCCCCCCCCCCCCCCCAATGTATAAGGAGCCCGGATGTATAAGGCTCTGGGCTGTATTTAGATGTTTAGCCCTTCTAAGAGCTTTGGCCAAAGGTGTGTGTTTTCTTGTAATTTATATTCATTATGGCTGTTAGACTCTTTGGTGACTACATTTTCTGCCAAGTTTGATCTGCAGGTGCAAAACCAATGGAAATATGGGGCTGATCTGGGCCCAGTCTCAAACTGTCAAAAGGTGCTTGAAACTTTCTCATCATCAAACTTAGTACAATGTGACTTCTCTAAGTATTCTGTTACCCATCAATTTACAAGATGTTCATATCCTACTCATGTTGAAAACTACCTACTATCTTACCCTTTGTCTAGTTCATTGGCAAGTTGTTTCAGTGTTCCCAAAAGATGTTTTCGACTTTCCACACATACCGAGGGTGCCTTCTGACCGCAGTATTCAATGTTTGACATGTTTGTGTCAGTGTGGGTTATGAACAAAAATTTAGAATGAAATTTGTAAGAATGTTGTGTTGAGATGTGATGAAGTGTTGTTTGTTGCTACATGGAAATAATGTTTGGTGTTTACATAATGTCAGCTGTAAATTAATTTAATAACAAACTAATAAGTTTGAGTGCACTTAAACCATATGAGTTGATTACATATTATTTAAAATAACTTTTCTACTATTTTTATTCCTTTGATTTTAAAACGCTTTTATATATTTCATATTCAAATTGAAAGATTTTACTATAAACTAACTGCCGTCATGCTACTGTATATATTAAAATGATGTACCATTTTGTTTCATTTAAACTTGTTATGGATTCAAACAAGATTTACTGATAGGGAATTGCTCTATTTGCTAAGTTCATAGAAAGAGGTTATTGATATTTGATTTTGCCCATTCATACCTAATGATGGTGGCTTGGAATAGTTCCAGAAGCTATAATCCAATTATGTGGTCACCTCCAAATAAAATAATATAGATAAATTTGCCGTACAATGTTACTGCAGCCACCCAGGGATGGACTTGAATATATTTTACCACAAAGCATGTTACTCTGAGTGAGAGCCGCACCTTCCACCAATTTAGGTTGTCCATAGGCAGAGCAGTAGATTTGGCGAGAAAAGGTTACCGCCTCTTCTTTGATATCAATGCCAGCCGTTGCTAATTCGCCATTCTTGGTTGCCGCGCCTTAAAATTATCTGATGCAGTTGCGCGTAGCCGTAACCTTCATTGTGTCAAGCTGTAAGCCCCTAGACGAAAATCAAACGAATTCTGTGTATTGTGTTGTTTCCACCCAATAGTTTCTAGTTTGTCATAGATGTATTAACTTCGCTGTTAGGATCTGAAATCTTAGATGCTTCAATTTGTATCCATCATGAAGTTTCATGTACTCATAGTTGATACAGTTTGGGGTTTTAACAAACCTTCCCTTCTGAACACTTATATTTGGATAATTGAAAATTGTGAACTAAAAAAAAATATGCCTTGACAAGTTTGTTTAATTTTGTTCTTTTGTGGTGATGTTTTTGTTTTTTGGAACAAAAGGGTTCACTTTGAAACTGGTTTTGGCTTAGGGTAACAGGTTGGAGATTCCAATAGCCAAAGACTAATTAATTTAATTAGAGGCTTCTTTTGTGAGGAAGAGTCTGACCCCTTTGGTTCCTAAGGCAAAACAACCCTCTTCAGAGTTGGGAACCAAATAGTACCAAAACTCATGCACAGATTCATCAATTACTATGTAAATTAAAGAAAACATAGTACTTTTAGTTACTTTATTATGTCCTTTACCATGTCTCTGATCATTTTGACCTGGCTATAAAACAGCACTTGGCTTTTTCCGGGTCGCTGGGAATATGAAATCCCTCCCGCTGGGACTGGGCTGTATGGTCGTGGCCAGGCCAGCAGCCATTACTGTGGTCGGGCTGGTGCCAGATGTATTGACCTGGTGGCTCTTGCACATTTGTTTGAGCACCGCCTACGCTCTTTTCCTGATTCCGAGCTCCTTCTGTCCCCGGATAGTTAGGGATTCTGGATACTT